ATATATTATATAAAAATGAATTGCTGTTCGTTAGTCTCGCTAAAACTCGAGAACGGCTGGAACGATTTGGCTAATTTTGGTCTTGATTTATTTGTGGAAGTCCAGAGAAGGTTTAAAAGATTAGATAAATTTAAAAAGGCTCGGAACTAAATAAAAATAACAATTTTGTTTTTCCTTTGATGTGTCCCCCGTCGGACGGATTCCTTTTGTTTGTTTTAAGTTTATTTTATACAAAAGATTAGGTTTTTTATGTATCGATTGAGGCACTACGAAGTCTGCCGGGTCAGTTAGTTAAACAATAATAATATTTATAAGTACAATCATATGTTGTCGGTTTAAAATCAGTCGAATACCTACAGCGAAACAAGAAAATGTTTATTTAAGGATGCTTACGTATTCTTAGTACTCATTCGAGAAATACCTTAATATGGCAGCGTAGGTGTAAATGAAATTTAAAATTCCTTACTTCAGATACAACAATAAGCTTCTAAGAAACTATTTCTCATGCGACTTGACTGTTACTAAGAAAGACACGACAAGAATGGAGTATTTTTCATCTCAAGTCTCTGCGGACTGATTCATTGCCGCTGAACTGATTCATTTACAATATCAGATAGCATCGGCTAGTTTATTGAACATTGTGCGTACGTTCTGATCAACGATAAGATGATACTGTGGTCGCCACGGTAATCAATTACTACCGCCTGCCCACGGACTCCCATTCACGGCTTAACATTTTTATTGCAGCAACCGAGCGCGAAAATTAAGCACTCGTTACATTCTTAAGATGGATGATAAAGCGGCAATTGAATTTAAAAACGTTTTGTGTGTTTAATTTTTTTTGTCTTTTTGGGATCCCCTTAAACAATTCGACGTCGGATGGAATTGCTATTTGCATTTTTTATCCGAAGCCGAGTATAGATTGTTGTTAAACGGTCGCAATAAACAAGCATAATTAGACTTGATGAGACGTTACGTGTTTTATTTACAAAAAATAAAATCCTTAACATATATTTGTATTAAAATGGCATAAGTTTTAAACTCGTATCGTGTTTTATGGTTTGCCGACATACACACAACACGTAACAACGAATATATAACTATATACCCTGGTCGTCAGCCACCCGCTTAGCCCTTTTCGCGGATAATACGCCTATGTACTGCTTGAGTGGGAAGATGTCGTTCATGCCTAGTAAACTCCAGATCGCGGCCACCAATTTAGGACAGTGGATCCAGAATTGGCGAATTGACATCAACCCCACGAAAAGCACCGTCGTGCTCTTTAAAAGGGCTCCCCTCCCGACGCTGCTGCTAGAATCTCATCACCAATTAGGCGCGGTAACTCCAATCCCGCCATAAAAATCTTTGGCCAGCCCATACCGTGGACTTAGAAGGATAAGTACTTAGGCGTCACTCTCGACAGGGGGATGACATTCGGGCCCCACATTAAGTCAGTACGTTCCTACTCGGTCGACTCTACCCCATGATCTGCAAGCGAAATAATTATCCCTTCGTAACAAGGTGACACTCTATCAAACTTGCAAACGTTATGTCATGACCTATGCAAGTGTAGTGTTCGCTCACGCGGCCCGTACACACATCAACTCTCTCCAGGTCGTCCCCGTTTCTGCAGGATATACGTCGGAGCACCGTGGTATGTGAGGAATGTAGATCTTCACAACGACTTAAATTTAGTACCGATACATAAGTATCTTAAGGAAGCATCAGAACGCTACTTAGACAAAGCGGCGCGACACGGAAACCCTCTTATCGAACTAGCCCACAGACACAGCCCACTGAGTTTCTCGCCGGATCTTCTCAGTAGGTCGCAATTCCGATCCGGTGGTAGATTCTGCGAAGCACTGCTCTTGCTAGGCTAGTGTTAGCAAATTCTCTCAGGTCGAGACCGTGAGCTCACCTTCAGTACAGACGTTGCTGGAATAGCCTTAGGCTGCCAGCGACAAGGTAGGACAAAAAAAGGAATATACTTAGTCTGGCCATAAATACTGTTACAATAAAAAAATAAAAAATTGTATTGCAAATAAAATTTAATACTTTTACAGTGTGTTAGTTTAATAAATAAATATAAAACAATTTAAAGTATAAAAAGCTTCTTCGAAGTGGTCTCCATTGGCTGCAATACAGTTCTTTAAACGTTGAGGCCAGTTATCAATAGAAGCACGCACTCTTTCCATGGGAAAATTTTTCACTGCCAATCGTACGGATTGTTTTAGGGACTCCAAATTATCATGGCGTTTAGAGCCAGCCGTACACTCTAAAACTGACCATAAATCATAGTCCAGCGGATTAAGATCGGGACTAGACGACGGCCAGTCTTCAGCTCTGATGAAGTCTGAAACGTTCGTTTCCAACCAAGACTGCGTAGACCGAGCTTTATGACCTGGCGCCGAGTCTTGCTGGAAGGACCATTCTTGATTATTGAACATGGTGTTGTTAAGGGGCTTCACTACCTTCTCAAGAATGGTATCTTGATACACTTGTGCCGATGTTTTGATACCTTTTTCACAAAAATATGGCTCAGTCACTCCTTCATAGTGAATACCCCACTAAACCATCACTGAAGTCGGATACTACCCACGTTGCACTCTGTCAACTAATTGGGAAGCTTCCTTAGAGCTTTGAGCAGAAATACGGTCATTTTTTTTGTTAAAATGTTGCTCAATTGTAATAAAATTCTCATCCGTAAACAAAATTTTTCTATGACCTCCCTTTGCGTACCGCTTCAGTAGTTGTTTCGATTTTACCACCCTATTCTCTTTTAAATTATCAGTTAAGAAATGACCAATACGTCTCCTATAGGCTGCAAGTCCTAAGTCATCTTTTAAAATACGTGACATGGTTCTAGGTGCTATCTTCATCTCCCGAGATAAAATCTTTTGCTTTCGGGCAGGATTTCTTCGAATTCTTTCCCTTACTTCTTTGACCACCTTTTTCGTCCGAACACTACGTGGACGGCCAGATCTTTTTCTGTCACAAACAGAGGAGGTCTCATTGCACCTATTAATAGCCCGGTACACAAACATTTTACTAATACCAAGCGTATGGACAGTTTTAAAAATTGCATTTGGCTCCATACCTACTTTGTGTAATGCAATCATAGCGATTCGGCTCTCTTTATAATATTGTACAATTTATTGGCACCAAAATGAGAAAACTCAATGAGCAATCATAAAAAAATGACAGATTCCAAATTCAAATGTAATATTTTGTTTATTTTTAATTGTAACAGTATTTATAGCCAGACTAAGTATGTATTTGATGTGCATAACTTCATTTAATTCGAAGAATGAACTACAGTTGAAACAGCGTTAAATTTGAAATAAATAATACGAAAGTTGGTTGCCGCTGGTTGTGAATAACATGTAGGTTGAATTTATTGATCGGCTCCCGTGAATGTAGGCACTGCATATACTCGTACATAGCTATAATGTACATACGTGTTCAGATAGGTAGGCCTTTAAAAAAAATCTAAAACAACTAATTATAAAAAAAATTGGTTCCCTGGTTTTAACGTGAATCTCGAACAAAAAGATACAGTCGTAATTGACGATAAAATTAACACACTCGCCTTCCTACTTTAATGAGATACGTATCTATGTGCGTTTTAACACCGATCTGTAATTCTCGAGCCTCCATGTCAGTTAGAACTCCATAACAATTACGTTACCGCGCATCGCACTTACTGTCGTCATTTTGGTGCATTAGCATAGTTAAGTGGGCGCTCGAAGCATGACCACACTCACTTTATCGTGCACGTACTTACATGCTCAGTTTATTATCATACTTTTGTTACTTACAATGCTCCCAGTAAGGTCTCGTGCTAAGTTTTCTGAAAACACTTCATATCTCTTGTCTTTTACATAGCTGTGTTAAAACATACTAGAGGTCCCGTAGTAGTCGAAATTCGACTATAATTAATTGGAATTGTAAGTTTGTACACTATTATGATTGTATTTTATACATCTATAATCACAAATTTCGCCAAGACTACATTATAAAAATATTAACAAAGACAAACGATATTTAATCTCAATTTGACAACAGACATCAAGAACAAAAGCTTGACAATAAATAGTGTACATGCGTGTGTGCGTCAAATACATGGTATGCAGTGTGTGTAATGTTTTCTTTATTGATTTAATGTATCTTTTATGCATTATTTTTAAAAAATATGAGCATTGTGCACTTCTTCCCTATATTATCTATAAGTGTACAAAATTTCATACTCCTCCGTCCGCGCAATTTTCGTAAAAAGGGATACAAAGTTTTTGCTTCACGTAATATATAGATAGTGCTAAATGCTCTCAACTCTTTGGATAGTGAGTTTGATGTTTTTATATTTTGTAACTCTCCAAACATTGTCAAAAGATTTATTTTTATTCTCGCTTTAATACGTGATCGTTGGCGGTTTTTTCTTAAGATGTCACCTTCTAGATTGTTAGACCGATTTATTTTATGACAATTTATCCTGCAAATAGTACATGGATAGGGTCTATAATACACTCGCGAGCAAAAGTTTGGAATCACTTACTTGAAATTGTTTTTTTTTTTTTTTTTTGATTGAAAGATTACTGGTGGCCCGGAGGCCTTTCCAGTTTCACCAGGACAGGTGGGCGAGCAAAGGCTCAGCCAGGAGGGGTGGGATTTGCTAACAGCTACCCGAGCGCCTCCGAAGGAGACCTAACAACTCAAGAGTAGCTGCTTCGCGAATGAATCTACTACCGGATCGGAATCGCGACCCGCTGAGAAGGGACGTTAAGTGATGACGAACCTCAGATTCCGACCTTCACCGGCAACCCGTACAATCTCGATGGGACTCGGGACGGACAGTCCGCCCGGGCCTCCGGTCGCGGCCCAGAGGACTCCGAGGATCGAACCGGAGGAAGATATCCTTCCCCCGTTGACCGATCCCTCTGGGCCCTCTCGGCCGCGGAAGAAGGCCAGGTCCGAGTCCGACCGAGGCTCATCGAGCNCGGTAGCTCATCGACAAGCACGCCTTCAATTTGCTCGTACCAATCTTAATTGAGAGGTTGAGCAATGGAGGCAAATCCTGTTCTCCGACGAGAGCAGGATGTGTTTGCATGGTAGCGACCGAAGAGGTTGGGTCTACAGGCGGCCTGGGGAGCGATTTGCGCAGTGCTGTTTCGCTGAAACAGTGGCTTATGGGGTCGGCTCTTGTATGATGTGGGCCGGCATTTCCTTCGACGGTAAAACCGAGCTTGTTTTCGTGCCTGGCGGGGGACGAGGAGGCGGTCAACTTCGGACGGGTACATTTCCAATATTCTGCTGGAACATGTCGTTCCCTATGCGGGATATGCCGGTGATAGCTTCCTCCTTAAGCACGATAACGCTCGTTGTCACACTGCCCGTGGAACAACTGAATACTTCGAAGAAGTCTATATCGCCACATTGGACTGGCCTGCGCTCAGCCCTGACTTGAATCCTATTCAGCACGTGTGGGATGAACTGAAGAATAGGGTTCGTTCCAGAACTTCTGCTCCTTCATGCCTGAATGAGCTGAAATCGGCGTTGATTGAGAAGTGGGAAGGTATCCCACAAGAATCAATTCAAAAGCTGATCAGGTCTATGAAGAATCGTCTTCGAGGAGTTATTAGGGCAAGGGAAGGGAACACAAAATACTGACATTTAATTTTAAGGCTAAATAAAATTTTTATTTATTAATTTTTGTTGTTTTATTCATTCATTATTTTTCCATATTTCCTTTTTTTCCTACCTCCTTCACTTAATCCGAGATAGCTCCTTAATTACTGGCTCGATTTGAATGAATTTGCTATCAATTTAAAGTTGACAGTTAAACCTTTAAAATGATGTGATTTTTATAATAATTAAAAATTTTTTAGTAAGCAAGATCGCGCGGAACCAATTTCAAGTAAGTGATTCCAAACTTTTGCTCGCGTGTATATATTCGAACTGATTCCTAATCTTCAATTTGAATAATTCGTATCTTGAATATCAGACCTTATTCTTTTCTCGTCTTCAACTCGTGCACACCCAATGATGAGTGTAGGTCTCTTCATATACACTCCATTCGTTTCGGTCTTCTTGCCTTTCGCATCCAATCCCTATTTTATTATATTATATTCTCCTGATCGAATTTGAAATGGCATAGCTTCTCTGCTTCTCTTAGCCAAGACTGATCATAATATGGGTCCAGAAAATTAAGATCTTTGTAGTTTTAAAGTCGTCGATGCGAGTTTGTCGGTGTTCAAATCATGTAGGCACATACGAGATATTCATTTAACACGTGTTCGAAAAATGACAAATTCATACCCCCAAACATATTATTATATAATTTGTGTAACTACTAACTATTATGAGCCCGCACGAGTAGATACAGCCATCTTGCGTATTTCTGCTGCTGTCTTCCAGTCTGAAAGGTGGAATAGCTGCTACACTATGCGATTGAAATTTCGACCTCAAGGCTCAACATGATGTCGGCATGCACGTTTTGACAGTCCGGTGAGCACTTAACGCTAGTTCAGCCGGTGAGCTAGGTGATTCAGTATAATGAAGATAATCCGTCTAACAATATAAATAAGAATCCTCATTTTTAATTACCTCAATAAATATGTCTTAGGCTTAATTACACAATACTATTTACATTACATGAAAACTAACAAGGAGTCACATCAGCACAGAATCCAAAGCGTGTCGTGTAATTTCATAAACACTACGTTATGTTATGCCACATCGTATTGATGCCGGCATCATTGCGCCACTTTGAGAAGGCGACACGACATGAGAACCCTCTTGTCGTGGCCGCTGAAAACTACATACCCGATCCTGTAGACCGAATGGTAAACAGTCGACGTCGCCCAAAACACGTCATTACGGATCCACCCGAATTCACCCGATCCATTAACGGTGCTTTCACACACACAAGCTTTTCCACAAATACCGGTCACTGTCCTCGTCGCATCCGCGCTTAAGACAAAGGGCTCGACGAGCGAATTAACCCATAGACACAGCCCACTGAGTTTCTCGCCAGATCTTCTCAGTGGGTCGAGTTTCCAATCCGGTGGTAGATTCTGCGAAGCACTGCTCTTGCTAGGGTCAGTGTTAGCATCACTCCGGTTTGAGCCCCGTAAGCTCACCTACTAGTTAAGGTTACGCTGAAATAGCCTCTCAAGGCTACCACCAGCTTAGGTAGGAAAAAAAATCGTATTGAAAATGCCACTGGCGGGCTTACTTGCGTCAGTACGTAGGCACATTAAATCACATCCCAAGTAGAACGAGGCTTGGAAACCCGCCTGTGCTCCTACGCAGATTTTGCAATATGATAAAAATGACAATGGACATTATACTCCTTAAACGACCTCAATCTTAAGCAAAGTAATTCTTTATTTATTTCTGAGAATTTTAACTTTTCCGAAAAATATTCATATTAATGAATGAAATCACAATGGCTATAATTAATATTAACGAAAGAAAATAATATTTTGAAAAGAAAAAAATACAACGTATCAATTTCATAGTACTAATGTACTATGAAATTAAATAAATAATTTCATAGTACATTAGTAAATAAAATAAAAAATTTTCACGTAATATAATAGTATTTACAAAATAAAAGAGAGTAGACATTATTTAAATTAAGAAATAAATAACCGGATAAATAAAATAACTAAAATTAATAAAGAATTGTTCTTGAATATTTTTATGAATCATAGCTTGTTAAGCCCTTCTCTTTCTATGTTCTATGAAGAAGATATTCATTTATTACTTAAGCCAAACCAGGCCAACCTATAAATCCCACTACTGTCGACATCCCAAAAAATAACGATTATTTTCTCACACGAACAGATTTAATTTCTATAGCATAATAAATCGAACGCGGCTTATATTGCCCTTTAGCTTTTAGCTTTAGAGCGGTCATTAAGCTTAATTTTATTGCAATGGTCGAACATGCAACGTAATGGTGTTGTTAGAAAGCACACCAGAATCCGAAGCAAAATCGGGTACAGTTCACAGTACCTCAGTAATGGTTATATCTTCGAATGTGAACTATCGTAATCAGATACGGACTGTAATTCTTAATTTTAAATATTAGAAAAATCTAATTCGATTCATCATTCAAAGTATTCGTATTTTAGATCTTATTAATTAATTAATTATCAACCTTAACTTATATATTCTTTTGGAAATCATAATCGTTACCACTTTTAAATTGCTTCTTAATAAAACCTATGTACATAAACAAAACAATAATCAGCGTTTAACTCAATGTTCGATTTAAACAAAATAACAATCATCTATATAGGTATATATAAATGAATTGCTGTTCGTTAGTCTCGCTAAAACTCGGCTAGACTGATTTGGCTAATTTTGGTATTGAATTATTTGTCGAAGTCCAGAGAAGGTTTAAAAGGTAGATAAATATGAAAATGCCCGCAATTAAATAAAAATAACAATTTTGTTTTTTCTTTGTTGTGTATGATTTAAGTTTATTTTATACAAAAGTTTAGGTCTTTTATTTATCGATTGAGGCACTACGAAGTCTGCCGGGTCAGCTAGTAATTATATAAATCTAACCAATCTATGACAAAATATCCGAACATCAATACATTTATTAAGTAAAATTGAAATTACAGCATTTCCATATTTAGAACCTAATCAGAATCACTACAATGATTACTTATAATTTTAATATTGAAGTAATAAGTGCGAAAAAGCAAGCTGAATCATTGGAGTCAATGCACCATTCAAATTTATAGTATCCCGCAAATCTACCGGCATCGAGTCTGGAGTCGGTCGATGACCGAGGAACAACGTTAGGATATGTTGGTACTATAGTCTAAACGAGCTAGATAGAACGTCGTACCCGGATGTTTTGCATTAGTCTACCCTTAACTACGAGTATACATACATTTACATTCAAGCCTCTTTTATTACATTGAACTCTTGTTTCAATTAGTATAAAACTGCCTTATCGATTGAAGTATTAATAAAATGTAAAAATGAAAAACATTACGATATAGGTAATGTCGCTTATTTATTATATGTAATAAGTAGTGGTATTTCGACTGTGTGGTGTCCTGATGGCTTAGAATAGCCCACGGCTCTTTTTAGTGTGGGTCTCGTAAAAGGCGACAATAAGGAAATAGGTAGCAATGATACTATAACAGCATAGGTGCGATAACAGAGCGGCATTTAGCCATTTACGAATGATAGGTCGTGCTATAAGTCTAAACGGCTTAGTACCACCGTCCTGCCCATCTCTACCGCAAAGCAGTCATGCATTTCAGTCTGATGAGTAGAACAACTGTTATACAATACAACAGAGATTTCAACCTCATGTCTCAAAGTAGCTAGGTATTCACGTCATTATGGAATCTGATATTCCTACGGTAGGAATATAGGAATCCTACCACTGGGAAATCTAAGGCCATTAAAACAAACTTGAGACGGTGAAGTATCATGATTAGTTGTCGACTGCCGACAGATACTTATAAAAATACATATAGGTACTCATATATCTGTGATGCGGTTAGTTGACAGTTTTTTTTTTTTCATTATTAAAATTATTTATGTATACCTACATCTTTTGCAATTTCATTTGATCAATTCGTTTAGATTTATAGTGTTTGAAATAAATATTTCATCCTATCCAAATTGGTTTGGGTTAAATACGTATGTAATTATATTTTAGGTAGGTACACTAATTTTATTGAGTTGGTGCAAACACGAATATCAACAAGATTGATGTCTATAACGTGAAGCTTTTCAAAGGGGCTTATCGTGACGGACTTAGTTTATTCTTTGTTGGAAGCGAATACAAAATTGTCCCTTCAAACTCAGTATCGATGTCGTTGAATATAGTCGTTTTAACATTTCTTAAATTAGATACTGCAAATGCCACGTTAACTACTACATCCTTAATGGAAAAACCATTTAATCCCAGTTTTTCACGAATCTTCCAGAAAGGTCCCATGGTGTAATGGTTAGCACTCTGGACTCTGAATCCAGCGATCCGAGTTCAAGTCTCGGTGGGACCTACTATTTTTAGATTTCAAGTACAATTTTTTTTTTTATTAATCCTAAAAATAGCATCAAATGTTTTTTACACATCAACCTAGTATTTATAATACGCCTGTAGTACGCTCCGAGCAATTTCTCTTAAAGCTCTGTATATGCTAAGGGTTAATTAATCTATTTCGGGCAAGTCTATTTCTGCGGTAAAGCTGTCATGCAATCCACTTTGAAGAATGGGAAAACCATTATACAATAGAATTGAGAATTCGACCTAACGTGTCAAGGAGGGTGGCGGCTTCCACGTTGTAATGTTTTCAGTAACCACTTAACATCAAGTTAGCCGTGAGCTAGGTCACTCCTCAATGAAATAAAATAACATAATTAACATTGTTTTTATAGTTTAATAACGCGTTTTTATTGTAATTACATAAATTCTAACATTTCGAATTCTTTAGTTTTCGTGGTCACGGACGACGATTAAGCAAAAGTAGTTTTAATTATGTCTACAACTCGGGAATACAGAAGAAAATACTAAACACATAGTAATGTCTTGTGTTGAACTCAGATACGAGTTGAAAGTTAATCAACCAATCATCGGGATAAGAAAAACCGGAGTCAAATCGACATTGAATAAATTTCAATGTTTTATTGGTGTCTTAATATCATTGTGAATGTCGGTAAAGATTCAGCTCGATAGCAGAGAAATGACAAGACAGCAAAAAGATAAATATGAAGAATAGATCTGCACTCATTATTACTACATCAAAAATATCAAGGAAGAAAATATTATTTAAAGCCATACAGATGCCATAATTAAACCAAATTCGGAAAAATACTTAGGATAGATTTCTTGGTCAAGGGAGCTAGAAAAGCTGACTGGATATTCTAAACAAATACATGCATGCGGTGGAATGTCTCTATAAACAAAATTGGAGTATTCCTGCTGTCGCACACACGCATCGCGATTTATTCAAATTTATGTGATAAATTTGAAGGTTCCTCTGTCTATCTTCTGCCAGTGCTTGGATTTCATACGTCATGTGGTATAATTGTCATAGATAATAGATTTTTTACTGGTGGTAGGACCACTTTTGAGTCCGCGCGGATAGGTACCACCGCCTTGCCTATTTCTGCCGTAAAGCAGTGGTGCGTTTCGATTTGAAGGGTGGGGCAGCCGTCGTAACTATACTGAGACTTTAGAACTTGTATCTCAAGGTGGGTGACGCGTCTACGTTGTAGATGTCTATGGGCTCCAGTAACCACTTAACACCAGGTGGGCTGTGACCTAGTCCACCCATCTGAACAATAAAAAAAAAAGATTATCAATCTATAAAATGAAGTTTGTCATGCCAATGTCGTCTTGGTAACGCTGGGTATAAACGACAAACAAATACAATACACGATTGGGATTTCCAAAAAGAAACTTGAAATGAGTTTTTCTACATAATTATAAAGCAAAAGAATACAGTGAAGTGAAAATACAACATAACATCTACCTTTGCTAAGCTACAACGTATTGAAAAATCATCATGCAACCTAATAAATTGAAGATACTGATGATAGGTCCCTCTGAAGTAAGTTTCCATAATAATACAAAATGATCTTAAAACAAATACCTATAAATTAAATTATAGCAATTAATTAGGTTCCCGCGGATACTTTTTAGCTTCATATACACTTGAAGAAGAGCTTTGATTATGTTATCAATTGGGCAGATTAATATTATTTTCAAATTCAAAAGTCAAAGTCTTGTCTTAGGAATAATGAAATTACAATTTATTTCCGATTTAATTTTTATAGAGTGGCAAAACTCAAATAGCTAATTTTTTATCGAATTCTATTAATATTGATGAAGCGGGAAACCCGAAGCCTACTCAAGGAGTAAGAATAGTGGAATTCGAACAGTCAAATATAAACTATAACGGAAAGAATAGTAACATAGATATAGAACTGTGGGACTGTAGTGGTGATCATAGGTAAGTGTTGAATTTTTTTTTGTTAACAATATCATAATGACTACCTAAATTATAACTTCACGATAACTTGCTTTTGTTTGTGGTACGTAAAAACTTAACTAAAACTCTCTTGTGTCAGGCGTATCTCTAGTACGCTTTTCTATGTCAAGCTTTTTTGGTTTGCCCACCGATTGCCGAGGAAGGTTTTTGCAGCTTATGTATGTATCTCGGTCTTTGGAACGATTTGCAACCTTTAGCCATTTGATAAATTTAATTATATGAGGTGTGACGTGATTTATTCCAATAAATTCATTGTATTCTTTAACTAAAGATAGAACGCGCCAAAATTTTTACTCTAGCCAGGCAGGTCGTAACTGAATTATATGAGCCTACATACTAATTTATTTTATTCGTAACTAAATAGCTAAAAGTGTGAAATAAAATACATTATTGAATGAAACAAACACCCGACTAGTTTAAAATACACAATATAAATGTAATTTAAAGGTCAGTAAAAGTATTGTAGGCAAAGCAAGGGGATAAAACATACGTATGTGTAATAAATACATTTACTAACATTCAAGTTATGTATCATGGGTTTTACGCTCGCCTTAATGTAGAAAAAAATAAATTGTATCCCTCGGGAACAGACCTTTTTATGAATGAAAGATGCTCCATTTCATTTTCTGTACTCCCGACAACGTGTACCTATTACAAAATTCAGTGTATGGGTGTAGTCAAGACTGTCTTCATTAGTCCAGACTTGAAAATACAAGAAATGCACGTTCGAATTTATTATACTATAAAAGCATGGATTATATTACGTTCGTTTTATGGTGATATTATAGTTTGTGTTTTACTTTTATGTGTTTGTAGTGCAACCGAATTCTTAGTTTCGTTCAATAATTTATTTTATTACTACGTGAAGTTTTTGACCGTTTGTATTTTAAGTCGGAACATACATAACGCTGTTTGTTTATTTTTTATGGCACTAGCTCAATTGATTTGACGTGATTCTCAAACTGTAAATAAGATACAGACCACTTTCCACCAGACAACACCAGAAAATATAAAACAGTTACTTCAAATATGAAACTAAACGAATATCTTTGATCACCTCATTCAATTTTGTCAGCTAGGTATGCACCTTTAATAATACCATTTTCGATATCCACGCATTAATCAGTGACTAAGATTAATGTAATGATAATACAATTTAAAATTACTCATTTTTTTAATAATCATTACAAACCATGTACCTACCTAATCACGTAGATACCTACTCTCAATGACGCACCAAAAAACCTCGGATGAGTCAAACATGAGTTGTTATAGCGAAGCAGAATTAAATGACTATTTTTTAATTTTGTGTACTGTAATTAAACTCTCACAATAATTGTTTTAATACTAAAATTAATCGTCCCTCGAAGCATAGCCTCCCTTCACGTCTCTACCTAGATTGTATGGACGACTCACGTTTCAGATTCGAATCATGCTGGCCTGCTTTAAGATTTGGAGTTAAAGGAGTAATTTTAGTTTGTTCATCTAATACATCAGAAGTCGCTCCTAGAGAATTAGAATTGCTATATAACTACTTTGTATCTCAACCAAAGCTATCCACTAAACAGTGTGTGGTGTTTTACAATTGCGCTGATGATCAATACGATGTTGGTCATCTTAATTTATGTAAGTAGTCATCATTCGTTGTTACGTAAATGATTCATAGAAATTGTTGTATTTCAGATACCTATATTGACAAATTTCTTTTTCAGCTTCGACATTTTCAAGAATATCTCAAGTCGCCGTGAATTTGAGAACAGAACGTGAACGTTTGAAAACCGAATTTTCTAATTACATAACCTCTGTACTTCAGTCGGTATAAAGTATAATATTATCTGGTGACATCATCCTTATGTATATAATTTGGTGAAAAATAAATAAACGCATACTTACGTATATCACTGTGACATTCATTTTCATTCCACTGAAAAACATGGAAAAATCGAAGTTCTGGGCATAGTTAATAAGGTAGTCAATGTACCAAACAAAAGTTCAATCGAAGTTCTGGGCATAGTTAATAAGGTAGTCAATGTACCAAACAAAAGTTCAATCAAAGTTAAAAAAGTACATTTAAACATGAAATTTGAGGTCATAAGTTAATCGTGATCATACAAGGCTTAAGTATATTTAATTACGTAAAGCCAAAATGCCGCAACAATCTTTAGAGGATCTTCTGGAATGAAAAACACAGACGGTAGATATGTTTCCGAGACTCGTTATTAGCGGTCACATATACTTCCGCTATTTAATTATTAAAAATATAATATTAAATAAAAGTATAATATATAATTACATACGAAAACACGGACGTAGTTCATTGCCAGAATTTGATTAGCCCAGTGGTCCAATCAATGACAGCAACCATGATAATTACGTACCTTTAGAAAAAATAGCACCAAAACAAATTCTTTTCTTGCACAAACACATATGTTTAAAATTGTTTAAATCAATTATATACTTTATTTAATTAAGCATTTTTATTTAATACTTAACAAAATGTTTAGTCTTATTCAGTGTTTACGAAGATAATTTATGAGTGTAACACAATATTAAGGTGAGTTTCGACGTGCGAAGGTAAATATTGCAAAAATATAATTTTTAGTGTTTGGTATCGATATCATAAATTCATAAATTCGATTTGACTTACGAGCCTATGGTGAAGGAACGAAATGAACACAAATATATAAAATAAATTTATTTAAACTCGAGTAGGCCGCTGGCAATATTAGACTAAGGATGCCTTATAACGATTTAGCTAAAATATTATGCTAATTATTGCTTTTGAGTTTGAATAATTTTACACATTTCCTTAAAATTAACGTAATTAACTTTAAACCTAGTTTGTCTTTGAATACCGTTTCTAAACTCATACTTGTTCGATATAAATATTCAAGATTCATAGTCATTGTAACGAAAACTAAAATCTCATTTACAAACTTGCACTCAGTCTTAAAAATTTGGCTCCTCATGAGTACGTTGTTAACTTTATCAAGCCTTACGCTATTTTAGTGATTTTAAACTAACTAACGTTAAATTACAATTGACAGGATTACTATACAAAAAACTGTAAAACTTATTGGATTATAAAATATAAAATCTATGTAATAATCCGTAATTAATTATCACCTTGATCACGCCCAGTTGTGGAAGGATTCATCTATATTATTATATCTACAATAATTTACATATCTTAAACGCATGACTTTCAAACATTTTAAGTTAATTCCTATCATTTTTCCAATTACCACGATCGTTGAAATTCTTTCTGTCTCGGTTCCCTCTACCTGGGCCCCCTCGATTCCACCGATCGTTTCCGCGACCGCGATGCCCCCCTCTGTTCGGAAATCTGGGATAATTTTGTTCGCTGTCGACAAAGTTAAAGTCATTACCCGAGCCGGGTCCGTTAAACGGCATGTTCCCGTAATTGTTTGGTCCACCATAATTACTGGCATTGAAGTTATGAGGTATATTTGGAGCTATTCCGAGTAGTCCAGGAGTAGGACCGCCGCGGGGGTCCGTGAACCCATGCATGTTTCCTAAATTCATATTATTCAGGTTATTCATGCTATTCATGTTGTTCATATTATTCATGTTATTCATGTTATTCATATTGTTAATACCACCCATTCCCATTGGGGGAATGTTCATTATATTCATACCACCGTCTATCGGACCCGATTGCATATTAGAATTTAAACCGAAAGGATTCGTATTCTGATTAATATTAGACGGAGTCTTCAGTAAAGCTTCTTTGGGTTTTGGTAGATATGAATACTCTCCATTATCACCCAAAGTAATACCTAAATTAGTAAAAATATTGCATAAAATCGAATTGCTTTGTATAAAAGAGAGATCAATTTTTTTGCCTGTAACATTTTCTTGGTGGAACTGTTTGATCATCTGAGTTACGGGTACTAAATGTTGATTGACAAATATTTTCTGAGTGGAACTTAACTCTTTGTACCAGTTTGAATTTTGTAAAATGGTTTGTAAGTCCAATGTCACAACTTTTTGATCCTCGTTGCTTTCTTTGGGCTTCCGGCGGGGATCAATCCTAGGCCCTGTCGCACTTAACGCTTTAGTTGACGTTTTTTCGGAATCACTATTAGTCTCTTCTGTCGATAGCCTAAAAACTTTTCTTAACCTAGGATCAACAAGTGCTTGTGATTTCGCCGTACTATTTTTTATATCAGAGTAATCTGGTCGAGGTATATAAACCGTTACTAATTTATAAGGAATCGGAGGATGACAATTTATAGATGCATTTATTTCTGATGCAGGTGTATAATTTGGCAATGGCTTAAATGGTAATCCTAAACGGAAATCAATGTCACCACTGGAGCTCTGGCGTAAATCTGTGTCTCCAAATGCAGGAAGACTCATATCCGGGTTACGTAAATCAACATCCGTGCGCCGACGTCCATCCGTCGGCTCCCCGTCAACACATTCATAAATTGAAACTCTTGATGGTTTTTTACTGCTCAACTTTTTCAAATTTTCCAGCGCTTTGTCTGGAGATTTCCTAGAACGAGGATCACGTGACTTTGGCGAGCTAATACCACTGATACAATTTTCATTTTTCGTATCCTGTAAATTATTTTTCATTGTGTTAAGTAATTTTGTGACTTCTTCGCTAATATCTATTTTTGATAAATCTCCGATTCTATTTAGAACAGCTGATGGTTCTATAACGTGTGGTGCAGGATTTTGTGGAGATTGAGACGCTTGTGGAGACATCAATGGCGATTTCTTTTTACTAGCTTTTTCTTCGTCGCTGGAGTACCATTTTTCGTCTATTAATAAATTATTGTCATCGTCATCATCAGTAGTTGAACGACGATGCCTTTTTTCGGGATTTTTAAATAATGGTTCCGGATGAAGAAATCTTATGTCTGTATCACACTCTCGTTTTAAAGACGCCCCGTCTGCATTTGACAAAATTAACCTTGGTGTCTCTTCCACAAACGGTAACACTCTGTGATCTACATCCTTTGATTCGCTGGATACTGATTTATTGTTTTCGAACGGTTCGTTTGAAATATCAATGTTCTCCTTATCTTTACTAGCAAATTTTAAGGCATCTTTTGTATATTGATCGATATCAATTGTATCTTTACTTATTCCCAATTCTTTTGAGGTTTCAACTCTATCGTTAATATCTTCAGTTTGCAGAATTGATATTGAATGTTGAACACGCATGTCTACGTCTTTTCCTGGAAGGTCAGTCTGGATAGAATTATTACTAGATACGGGAATTACAGGTGGTACTCTTAAATCCAGATCTTTATTCGCCGCAGCGGATCCTAACAAATTAGATTGACTGTCATTTGAATTATTTATTAATCCTAATTTTTGAATACTCATTGTATTTAGTTGAATTTCGGTTATTTGTTTTAACGAAAGACCTATTGTATTTAGCTGCAAAACAGTTAATTGTCCAAGTTGATCTAAATTTTCAATACCCATTTTGATTAGGTCAGATATTTGTCGCGGCGTTAATACACCATTGAGGTTTTTCAAACTTAAGACATTTGTATTGTTGATAGTATTACTTGGAGACATGCTGTCATTATAATTCTGTTTAGAATTATCATTTTGCCACCTTGACTGTCGTACTTTAGGCGATATTTTATTTTGCTTATCATTATTGGATTGGTTTACAGAAAAATCAGAACCTTGAGGGTTCGGAATACTTAATTCAAACAACGAAGGAATAGTTTTTTCTTGACTTTCCATAAAGTCAGGATATTCCTGTTTCAGTTTTGCTTGCGTAGCTTGTAACATTTTCAGAGCTCCTTCTCGATTTAGTCTGGGAAAATCACCTAAAATCTCTTTGGGCGCCGATTCTATGTGTTTTAAAAGAATATTTTTTAAGCTTTCAGTCAGTGGTTTACCATGGGCAAATTTACAATCATCTTTGTAAATACAAGGAAGACCAGTGTGATAATATTTACAAGGAAAATCCGCGTGCATATAAAGACATTTATCTCTTTTAGCACAACAATCCATTAAATAAAATTTGCAAAGTTCCATTTTCCGTGGAGGATGAACATCGTGCGAATAAATGCAATCATCTCCTTTATGGCATTTTCCCTGCATATAATACAAACAAACTCCGTCTGTATCCTGCATCGAATGTGCCGCCCTTCTTTTTTCATTTTTACCTCTATCATTTTTAAATCGATCTCTTTGTTGGTGTTTTTGCCTTTGTTGACGATGTTGATGACCGCGCGATTCATGACTGCTGTCTGAAGCATAAGAATCTCTGTCATCTTCTTCATATGCTTCAACCGGAGACTGTTTCTGTACGGGGGATGCACCTCTCACACACATCATTTCACTCTCGTCCATTTCATCGGAATACTCTTGTTTCTTACGTTTTTTACTAGAACCTTCTTTTGTATCATGTTTCTTCCTTTTTTTGTATCGACGACGATCCTCGTCTAACCTAGATTGATCGTCTTCGGCTTCATTTTTATTCATAGCCTTTCTAATTGCTTTCTCAATATTACTAGCAAAGTCATCCTCTACAGGACTACTATACCTGCGATTCTTTTTGCTTTTATCCTTAGACTTATGATCTTTGTTGGATTTTGATCTCTTTTTCTTACCTGATTTTGAATAATATTGATCCTGAGTTTCAAGGCTTTCTTTAGATTTTTCTTCAAGCTTAGATGAATTTTCATTGATAATATCAACATTTTGAGTTTCAGTACTTTCCTCATCTCCACTTTCAATCTCTCCATCTTCAAGGTCGTCGTAGTTAGTTGTAGATTGTGCCATTATGAAGTTTTCACTGTAATTCAGAGAAAAAAACGATTTAACTTCAAAAATAACGAAGACTGCACAGTTCAACTGTATTTTTTCGAATCAAACGACAATAATAAATACAAAAATAGAACGTTTGTATTATACATAATACTGACAAAAACTCCAAAATGAACTCAATTTTATCAGTTTTGAAGTAAATAACACACTAAATTGTTAAAGATCATTCTGATGATGATCATTTAATTCTAAGCATTAATTCCTTTTCAAAATTCAACTGCTTTCGTAAACTAAGATGTAGGCATTAAAAGGGAATGTAATATCTAAGGAGATCCTCANAGAACGTTTGTATTATACATAATACTGACAAAAACTCCAAAATGAACTCAATTTTATCAGTTTTGAAGTAAATAACACACTAAATTGTTAAAGATCATTCTGATGATGATCATTTAATTCTAAGCATTAATTCCTTTTCAAAATTCAACTGCTTTCGTAAACTAAGATGTAGGCATTAAAAGGGAATGTAATATCTAAGGAGATCCTCAATAATATGATAGTTTCATCAAAGAACAGAATGAGAATTTACGTCAGACAAAAATGTAACTACAAATGAAATTATCTAATCATAAAACCATATGTTAGGCGTTATAGTTCACTATTTTAGTTCATTACCCGGTACATTTATGTACATAGAGGTTCAGGTCCCTACTGACCGCCGGGTAGCGGCGGAGGCCATAACGCTGAGTCATACTTTGCCCCACGTAGACCCATTACGCCCAATGATTAAACAATTTTGCAAGAATCAACAGAATTTGTTTAAAATGCTAGCGTAACATACAATATCATTGCAAAAAAGGATAATCGCTTCTCTGCACTTCCACTTCTACTATCCTTTTAAAGAATTTTATAGCTACTAAAACAGAGATTATGCCACATTAGTAGCTATAACAATGGGCATCGTAGTTGTTTTTCCAATAGACTATTTCTGAGGCATACATTAATCTACTCATAGTTTTAAACGTTATACATCTCATTCACTGTCTTATAACCAAAGAATGGAAAGAAATCCGGTAAATTTGTTAAAACAAGTAATACATAACTATTAACGTAAACAAAAATACAAAATAGGTACCTATCTTTCGAAACTATGAATCAGTCAAGTGAGCGTTTCGAGAATTGTATATTAAATAGGCGATTGAAATAAATAAGTATCAAAAATTAACGTTCGTTTCTGAAATCAGAAAATAAATGTTTTACTGGTAATAGATATAAATACGCCATTTCTTTATCGTATGGGAAATACATTCAAATACACACCGGTGTCTATGAGTACCTACTGTGTGTGTGCGCGTAAGAAATCGATTGCGACAAAACAACTAGTGACTGCTTGGTGTGAAAGAGACAAAAGATGAAAGACATTTTAAATAGGTCATACATTGTCACATCAACTACGCTGAAATTTTGGTTATATAGCCAACATTTAATTTAAATAAGATATTTGAGATAAGTTAGGTATGCTTATTAATGTAAATACATAAGTGGGCATAAATTCGTATTTATATAATAATCTTTGTATGTACCTAGGTACTTTCTGAAAATCAAAACCTTTGTGTAATCAATGTGTAATTACATAATATAGCACAACACACACTTTCAACGTTCAAAGTTTCAACATTAAATCTGTTCGAAAATGTTCTTAATAGGTTATCTATTAATAAAATATTCCAAATGGACACGGACGTGGCCTTTTTTGCTTAGATACTATACCTAATATTCGTAGAAAGTATAAGCATTGGAAATATTCTCCAAAAATCACAATAATGCTTGTTTGCGATGATAGACCAAATCAACATAGACAGTCGAAGTCGGTACAGTAACTGTTCATAGATCCACTACTTTCAAATTTAATAATTTGATGAATCGAGCAAAGTAAGCAGTGGGTGGCCGTTCACATTTCACAATGTCTTGCTGGGTTGCGGTTTCGCCGCGGTATGACATGACGTCAGCCTTCTAGAACAGCAAGATCTATATTATTTGTCCTTTCTTTCATTGAGGTCACGCGGTGTTACACTCACACAAAGGCATTGAATATGAAAGTATACGACGATAAGGACTGCGCATATTGCGCAGTTAACGCACAATAAGTTAAATACTTGTGGTTTTTGTAATACGAACATCAACAGATAATACACCTAAATAGTAAATGTTACGAGTCACAATAAGAGAAATGAAAAATTATAAATATAGATAGGAACCAACACCCGTACATAAAATTAAATGTAAATATATACATAAATATGGGATTGACGAGATACGTTCCAAAGCTATTATATATAATTGTGTTATATTATTTAATAAGTGTAGCTGGCGTTAAAAATGTTTTTAACATTCTCATGCAAATTTTGCCAAGATGGCGGCTACGATACAATCGCGTGATCAATTATATGCCGCCATTTTATGATGGAATTTTTTCCAATCATTACTTAGATTGGAATCACATTTTGAACGATATTACCCTTTGATATTACCATTATTCTGAACATCTCCAGTATTACTCGATAAGCGATAATATGTAATGAGTAGCACGTAGACTACCTGATCAAGCACTAAAATGGGGGCCACGCGTTCATTATTGTCCTAACTAGCAAATAATATAAGTGTTACCAATCTTACATTAATCAACGGTTCACTATGTGCGACTACTATACGCCATGTATTATGTAAATATTCATAGCATTGTTGCATTAGACGAAACAAATCGAGTGCGCTACAATGATTTCGAACAACGACTGCTNCGTAGACTACCTGATCAAGCACTAAAATGGGGGCCACGCGTTCATTATTGTCCTAACTAGCAAATAATATAAGTGTTACCAATCTTACATTAATCAACGGTTCACTATGTGCGACTACTATACGCCATGTATTATGTAAATATTCATAGCATTGTTGCATTAGACGAAACAAATCGAGTGCGCTACAATGATTTCGAACAACGACTGCTGCAGAACATGGCAGTGGGCTTAAAATTTTTAGTTCGGTCTTTCAGCACAATCTGTTGAAGCGCTGGTGAAGCGGAAGCTATAGCGCCATCTACAAAGTCAAGCTGCAATTTAGATACTTTAAGTGATGCTTTTAATACTAAAATATCAGATTATTTGATTATAAGTCATAATTACAGCTTTTATGTGAGTTTAAAAATATATAAAGTATTTTTTGTCACATATTGGACTTCTAAAATAGAATCTCACATTAATGATAAATAATAAGTTGCTTAACTTGGACACATAATTTTACCAGTGTTGCTAATGCAACAAAAAAGGGAAAAGGTCGAATTGCCAGAACGAAAGTTTCTCAAATTATAAATAAATTATCTTTGCGAGTCATTTGCGCTCAAATCTAAAAATAAGGTCAATGCGCTTGAAAATCAGTTTTGATTGATATAAATTTTGAATTTCTAGTCATAAAATTTGAAACTGAATCGTAAACGCTAGTAATTGAAATTAAATCGACCTGCGGTGCATATTAAGCTCTGACCTCTATTTTGAAAAATATTTTAGATATCGGTATTATGAAATAGCATCATTTGTCATTCTATGTTACCTCCCATGAAGCGTAACAAATTATCCTATTAGATTTACAAAACAATTGAAACATAAACTCATATATTTAATGTAGAAAATAGTCTCAATGTTTATTCATTGTTCTCTAAATCTATGCTGGTACACATGAAGAAAGCCCATTGAATAGCTATTGAAAACGAAAAAGCTTTATTTCGTTTTTGTTACTTGCTAACATGGACATACAAAGCTATGACCCACCTGACAGTAAGCGGTAACCAGAGACAAGGACCTAAACGTGGATTGCTTAATACACCTTGACACAAAATTGATGTTCCAAGTGAACAACAAGTACAACAGAAGTCTTAAATTTTAATTAGAACGCATGACAATTTCAGGGAAATAGTTAAGCTAGCACCCATCATTGTGCGTTTGCAACATGCCCGATAATTATGAACTAAGTATGAATAATATAACAAATGAAGAAAAATGTCATAATGAATGTATATTTTTTGATATTTTACTCTTTCTCGCAAACATGGCTGTAATGGATTTCGATGAAATTTCGCACAAAGATAGTTTGTAACTGGATTAACACATACTTATGATACTTTTTAACATAGAAAATGACATGACTCGGGCTACACCGGATACCTACACTTTCTTTATTAAATATGATAGTGTTTTCGTTGTCTCATGAATAAAATAACAATGGATCTACAAACCAAATGATAGTTTATGGACAAGAGCACATTGAGAGATAAGACTCCCATAGCTATATCTCATGAAAATTCAACGTGTTTTGTCTTTCGGAATTAATAATGTAACGTGAGTACAAACGTAGGTCAAAGTGAGCTTATTTAATTGTTATTGTTCGACATGTAATTTTTCAAATACGACTACAAGGGTTCACCAAAGCATACAGAGTACCACTTATCCAGAAAATAAATACTATTCCAAAGGAATTTATTTTTTCTAACTTGACCCTAATATAACCGCAGGTAAAAGTTAGTGTTATTAGAAGCTTTCAGCGTGCATCGGGATCTTTCTCGACTGACACAAACATACACTTGCTTATGTTTTACAATTACATATATCGATTCTATTCGAAAAATAAATCAAGCAAACCCCTGTGCTAACGAATGAAACTTAAAAGGATAAACGTCATTTCCATGTGATTTCAATCACTTGAAGAGAAAATGTCAAATTATTGTCATGTAAAATGATGTAAATTTTATCAAATTTGTGATAAGTCATCATTTTCAAAAACAAAACAGATTGCAATAACTTTTTGTGAATGACTTCAATATTAAATTCTTCTAAGAATATTAATCACACTGTATATATTTATTCAAAATTTTATCACTGTCACTTTTCTGAACTGTCCTAACAATATCAATTTTAAATTGGTAAGACGAAAATATGTCTCAACAGTTTAATCCATTTCTTGGGTTACTGGGAACTTCTCCATCTGAAACTCCAATTCTGGAAGACAGTCCTATAACTATTACTTCTGTGCCAGTCCAGGTTGATGAAGAAACAGAAATTGTAAACAACATCGTCGAAAATGTTTTTTACTTTACCATAAATGTAAATGCTGTCGAAAATCGGCCCAATAATGAAAAACAGTTAGTATATTTAGAAGAACTTGCTGAAGCAACTAAACCTCGCATTCACATAGACTTTGAAGCATTGGAACAGGCACTTTTCGAAAGATTACTTTTGCAAGATGTTGAGTCTAATGTTATTCCAAAAGGTACCAAAGTTTATAAGGAGCATGTCATAGAGAAGCATGTCTTTCTGTATCTATTTAACTCCTTACAAAATCTACAAAGTTATAACAATAGCAAGAACATGGTGGAAAAGCGAGCTGTGTCAAAAATGAGAGAATTAATATTTCGAAATGCAGTGACTGCTTTAAAACAACCAGCACTCTTTGAAGACCAAGACTTTTCATTACAGCTTTTAGGATTATTACAACATGCTGACCCATTGAGTCAAACATTTTTTACTGATATAGTCAATGCACTGGTATCAGATTGTAAGTATATTCTTTATAATAGTGTTTATAGGTTGCTATTATGATATAAATATTATTTATTATATAGGAAGCTAGTCATTTTGAATACATTTAGAATATTGTCATATAAAATTAATTAATTTATTGATTAAAATATACATTTTCCTAAATTGGCCTCAACACCATTCTTTAAACATGATAGCCTGCTCTCAGTTGAAACATGCACTTTTTGGATTGAATTGGATTTGAGTAATGCAATATTATATTAATAAAGCCAACTGTCTTTGCTGGGCGATCTTCCATTTGAGTTTGATCCATTGAATAGCCGCCAGTTGAACACTCCCTAGACCAATCTGAAGAATCCTGAAAATTTTATCAAAACCATTCAAGTCATTTCTAGAGTGTTGAGCTATAAGGCACATAGACACATTGACTTTTATATGTGTAGATAGGTAATTAAGGTGATGGTCAACCTGCTGCTAAGTGGTTAAAACTTATTCTGACTCTACACCATTATACTACACACTGTACACTATTATACAGTGTACTTTTCTTATTAAAATTCTTGTAATGTAACCCATACTGTATGAAACCATATACAACCCGTATAAAACCCATACTGTATAAAATTATCTTTAGATTATTCAATCATCATTATTACAGGTGATAATGAAAGTCAAGCACAACTTAAAGCCACAATGAATGAGGTTCTGCAAAAAATTAATACAGAAGTAAAGAAGTCTAATTTAATCAATCTACCGAATTATATTTTACCATCTGTACATTTATTTGCTAGTAAGTATAGCCACTTGATTATAATAATAATTATGAAAACAAAAGATACATTTTTTGCATGCCTAAAAGACTGATTTATATACGCATTGATCTCTCATCATACACATCACCACCTACAAGTTTTCAGTTTTATTCGTTATTAAAAACCCATTGTTTGTGATGTATAGGGTCTCTTCATTACTTTTATCTGCCTACATAAAACTGGCTTTTACAATAAATGCAGTGTTATATAATAAGTACTGTAAAAACGAAGACCTTAGAACACATATCTCAAGGTAGGTGGCGGCATTTACGTTGTAGATGTCTATAGGCTCCGGTAACCACTTAACATCACGTGGGACGTGAACTCGTCCACCCTTCCTAACCAAGAAAAAAAACTCCGTATGATCTATTATTCTGGATGCCCTTTTTTTTTCATTTGCATAAATCAAATGCAAATTGCAAAATAAATGACCAAAAAAACCAAAGTAAACTTATTATATATGCATTTATAAGCTATAAAATTTAGCTAGGTTTGATAGGTTGTTATGTACTTATGCCATATTTTAAAGTAATTTCATTAGTATTTAGATATATACAAACTGACAACAACTTCATTAGTCTCCTAAAATCATGCTTACTATGTTTCAAGGCTTCCATCTTTAAAAACTTACGTACGTATATTTGTATAGATAGATAAAACACAAAAATTTCACTCTTCATGTTATAATTATCTTCACATGTATAAATTACAGGTAACCCTCATTTAGCACCAATTTTAATGGAAGAAAGTGAGCCAAAAGTAGAAAATAATGGACGTTTGTATCAAGACTCAGTTATTGGTGCTCTTCTGAGTTTGTCGGTTCTACCTAGAACTGCCTTATCACTTCATGAATTCTTTGAACAACCAATGGATCAGGTGAGTTTTTCATATACATACATAATATACGTAATATAACCAACATATAACTGAAATATGTCTAAGTAATAGATTTTGCAAAAAAATAATACAATATTGTGTGTACAGACCTGAAATAACCTGAATTAACTAACAATTATCCTACAAAGGCTAATTGAACAATGGAATATATTTTTTAAATAAAGATGCCCTTTACAAATATTTACAAATTGCTTCTGCGATGAAGGAATAATATATTAATATCTAAATACAGAATTTATTCTTTTAAACCTACCAAGAATGTAGGGTACATTGTTAAGCTCCATAGGTACTACCATCCTACCTATTTATGCCGTGCACCATGCATTAACATGGGTGACTACAATCTGTAGCCAATAGTTATCACAAACCACAAGGTTTTTGACAGAACCTGAATCTCACTAAACTAGTGACCCCGACGGGAACTCGTCTACTTCGAATCTGAAGTTGGAGTGGCTACCCCAAATATCAGTTATCTGGGTGTTGCAAGCTCACCTGCTTACTGAGTTATTAAAAAGATGTCATTGTATTTCATGTATCGATCCTTAACTCACATTAATAGGTTTTTGTAAAAATTAAATACCAATTGGCCCTACAATTGTCTACTATAAGGATAAGAAAAATCATTTAAAAGCTTGATATGAACACTGTGAATTTTCAAGAGTCTTCAAATTATTTATTCCTCATTCAAAATGTACTATATAGTAAAATATTACAAACAAAAAACCAAAATTAAATAACATCATGCTTGCCAAACTTAAAGCCATCACAAATTTGTATTTTTTTAATGCCAATGTAAACTTTTACATTGAATTGTGAATTGTCTGGAACATTTAATTTCAGGCAGCCAACTCATTAATAGAAACCTCAATATGGAATGCATTGTCACATTTAAACAATAATATGCAAAGAATATTTCTGGGGCTGTTGAAATGTGGACCTGCGATGCGTAATCGTCTACTCACTTGGACCGGTAAATGTTTGAGTGCGAATGTAGCAAGAGGAAAACTGTGGAGTGTACAAGTAAGAAAATCATTTGTATTATTTTTATTGCTTTGATGGTTGGACGTGGTCTTAAGTGGTTACTGGAGCACAGACATCGACAACATAATGCCGCCACTCATGTTTTTCATTAAAACTACATTGTTCATCTGTTATTTTGTTCTTGCACCGGCTATAGAGAATATTTTTATGGAATCATTTTTTCTTTTTGTAACATTATGTTCGTTTAATTATGCCAACTGTTGTTTCAGGCTGGAGAAATCAGTGCTGCAACACTGAACTGCGTGTCCGACGGCTTCATGTTGAACCTGGGTGCAGTGTTATTGCAACTTTGTATGCCATTCTGTGCCTCCCCAGATGACCCTAAATTACTTAAAATAGATCCAACTTACGGAGCTGTTCCCGTAAGTTCTTTTGTACATCATACATCATCATATAGCAGTCCACTGCTGGACATAAGCCTCTCCAATTGCTTGCCACTGAGCTTCTACGTCTGTAAAAAAATATAATTCAATAGTTGTGCTAAAATTTTAGTTTTCTTTGTGTAATATAACTTTCAGTGATAATATTAAGACTGGTAATTAAAAAGTAAAATTATTTACTGTATGGATATTACAGCCCGAGGAATGTGCCTCGAAATCTGTTCATCTCGACAGCCTACATAATGAAACGTGCTTATTACCACCAAGGGAAGACGAAAACGGACAATCTATAAAACGACCGACGGCCGAAACATATAGTTTCGTAACTGAATGTTTCTTTGTGACACAGAAATGTATAGACTTGGGTAAGAATTGATGATTTTTTTCATACTCAATACCAAATAAGCTTGTTGCCGTATCTTCTTCTTCTTCATTCTTTCCTATAACCCTCTGCTGGGGTGTAGAGCTCGAATCAAATTCTTCCATCAGTCTTGGGCAGTCAGTTCTACCTCCTCCCACGTCATGCCCAAGACGCCCAGTTCCTGCGCGACGCCAAGTTGTTCTGGGACGGGCACTCTTCTTTTTGCCAGACACTTTCCAGATAAATGCTCTCTTGGATATATAATGTTGATCTATCTAGTACAATAAAAATATAGCTCTCATGTATAATGTTTTAGTTGTTTATTTGAAAAAGTCAGTTGCTTAGTATTGTTATAAATAGAAGATGTTTGGAAAATCAGAATGGCACTAACATTTTTAAGAATTTTTTAAGGATATTTGAATGTTTTTAAAGGACGACGTTCGAACTGTTTACCAGGTCTACTGAGCAAATTCTTATTAACTCCATTCTTATTTATTACCTTCATAGACATTTAGAATATGTCATGCGACTTATGCGCGAATAAGTACCTCATGCGAGTGTTAATAAGTTTATATTTCATACCGGAAATGTAATGCATTCCATTGGTGGCAGATGAATTCATATAAGACCTTAGATCGTTTTTTAAATATTATGTTCTTTCGCGTCCTCTCCTATACCATATCACCTTTTAGAAGTTTATTAAAGACACGTTGTCGTAGCCTAAAGGATTAGACGTCCTGTACATTCTTATCTAGCGATGCAACGGTGTTCGAATCCCGCAGGCGGGTACCAATTTTTCTAATGAAATACGTACTTAACAAAATATGTTTACGTTTGACTTGCACGGTGAAGGAATAACATCGTGTAATAAAAATCAAACCCGCAAAATTATAATTTGCGTAATTAGTGGTGGTAGGACCTCTTGTGAGTCCGCACGGTTAGGTACCACCGCCCTGTCTATTTCTGCCGTGAAGCAGTAATGCGTTTCTATTTAAAAGGTGGGACAGTCGTTCTAACTATACTGAAACCTTAGAACTCATATCTCAAGGTGAGTGGCGGCATTTAGGTTGTAGATGTCTATGGGCTCCGGTAACCAGTTAACACCAGGTGGGCTGTGAGCTCGTCCACCCATCTATAAAAATAAAAATCTATATATATATATATATATATATATATATATATAAATGAATTGCTAATCGTTAGTCTCGCTAAAACTCGAGAACGGCAGGACCGATTTAGCTAATTTTGGTCTTGAATTATTTGTGGAAGTCCAGAGAAGGTTTAAAAGGTAGATAAATATGAAAATGCTCGGAATTAAATAAAAATAATAATTTTGTTTTTCCTTTGATGTGTCCCCCGTCGGACGGATTCCTTTTGTTTGTTTTAAGTTTATTTTATACAAAAGCTTAGGTCTTTTATTTATCGATTGAGGCACTACGAAGTCTGCCGGGTCAGCTAGTAAAATATAATTTTCATTGTAGCATTTATTACAAGTACTGGTTTGCTAAGGTGTTCGCGTCTGCGCCGAGAAGCTATGGCAGTGCGGTCGCGAGCTCGGGCAGGCCCAGCGCGCCCTCGCCGACGCAGGCACCGCGCCGCGCCTACTCGAAGCCCTACGCACTCGCACGCATCATCTCATGACGCGGTATAACCTTTTGCTCACTTTAATACCCTCAAATAACCACTACTAATATTTCTAACCATCAAAAAGTAATCAGATCATATCAAGGTAGGCAGCGGCTTGGCTCTGCCCCTGGCATTGCTGAAGTCCATGGGCGACGTTAACCACTCACCATCAGGTGGGCCGCATGCTCGTATGCCTACAAGGGCAATAAAAAAATATATTATTTTGTACAACATTCTCAAAAATAGGCAGAAAAGCACACACAAAACTACAATTTTTACTGTTAATTCTATTTGAGAATACTAAAATCTAGATATTACAAAATTTTAATACTAAAAATATTACGGGCTGGAAGATATAGTGTACCCACACTGCGAACATCAATTTGGCGTTTCCTTAATCCATCATTTGTAGTTTGTTTTGGTGGACGTTGGAAGTAATGGTAACGTAAATGGTAAATGTACCTAACTTATTACACACCCACAATAGTAGGTAGATTGTGACTATACAAATATAAAGTATCTGGTTTTTTTTATTCTACGAAATATATATCATTATTTTTACTTTATTATTCTGGACTATTATGAAACAAAGCACCGTTAATGCTTTTAGGCACCACAAGCACCGGTCACCGTCCTCGTCGAACCCGTCGCTTGCGACGAAGGGCTGGACGAGCGAATTGACCCACAGACACAGCCCACTGAGTTTCTCGCCGAATCTTCTCAGCGTTTCCGATCCGGTGGTAGATTCCGCGAAGCACTGCTCTTGCTAGGGTCAGTGTTAGCAACACTCCGGTTTGAACCCCGTGAGCTCACCTACACACGTTAGGGTGAAACTGAAATAGCCTCTCAAGGCCATCAGCATAAGTAGGAAAAAAATAAATGTAACAAATCATTTATATATAATTAAAACTGCGTTCCAAAAAAACTATTGAAGTTGTTCAAAGTGAACGCAATACGTGTAACACAATCACGATACCAAACTAGATCATATTTAAAACAAAAAATCCCTACCTAATCCTTGGTAGCTTATGCGGCCATTCCAACTACGCCCGGACGGATTCAAAAGAGATAATTGGTTTGCATTGATTGCCTTGTCTGTAGGTTTGTTAGTCTGCGTTGCGCTTTACTAGAGAAGAACATGCTGACGAATTTGCATCGGCTTCAAGCGGCGACTTGCACGTGGCTCGTACAAGTGGCGATACGGACCGATCTGGACACGCCGCTAAGTAACTACGCGCCCATGACCCTACTGCCGGTCGAGATGCCCATAACCACACCAGCACCCGACACGCTAAGGTATTTAGTATACACTTTAAACTGTTTGTTTATTTATTGCGTAGATCGATGGACAATTTTTTTTTTATTGCTTAGGTGTGTGGACGAGCTCACAGCCCACCTGGTGTTAAGTGGTTACTGGAGCCCATAGACATCTACAACGTAAGTGCGCCACACACCTTGAGATATAAGTTCTAAGGTCTCAAGTATAGTTACAACGGCTGCCCGACCCTTCAAACCGAAACGCATTACCGCTTCACGGTAGAAATAGGCGGCGGTAGTACCTACCCGTGCGGACTCACAAGGGGTCCTACCACCAGTAAAAAATGTGCTTAATGCGAGTTTTTTAACGTTCTCGATAGCGTAAAAGTTAACCCAATTTGTATGCAGTTGGAACGTTTGCCTACGTTTGCCGCTAGGGGTGCTGTGCTGTTTGTAATTAAAGGTCCGTTTTATTCGGCATTAGCATCGACAGTTCGATGTTTTTAATCGAACTTTAATTAACTTTACTCCATTCAAATAGCTGAAGAAGTATTTTCGTTGTGATTTTTTTCCAAATTTTAAACTTTAAATGGTTTTCGTGTAAAGCTGCAACAATGTCGCTTAAACCAAATAGTCTTTCAAATAATTACTGATTGTAGTACTTTAAATACCTAATATAATAAAAAAAAATCTGTTGTTATATATATTTACTTTCTATATTAAAATATAATTTCGCGTTAACAGATGCATTCCAGAGTTCGTATTGGAAAATATAGTGGTTTTAATAACAATGGCGCGACGCACCGCCGGAGCTACGACCGAAGAAGCAGACATCGCTGGCCTGCTGCAGCCCGCGCTCACCCTCGTGCTCACGTTCATGGGAGACTCCTCGCGTACTTACAACCCGCATCTGAGGTGTGTATTTATAAATCACATTCATTCTCATTGTCCTAAGTATATTTTGTTAAAAGTGTAATTTTCGCATTCAGCGGCGCCAAGCTAGGACCTTTACCTATATTGTGCCTTCCATTTTACGGGAATATCACGGTTCAATATAGAATATAGTAAATATAAATATAGTATTTTTGTCCTGCGCGCTATAATTATCGACTTCAGTGATATCTTCTCTTTTTTGATGTCTCGACCACTAAGTCGATTTATGATCAATAATTGAGTCTTATCCTAAAATGAATAGCATTGGTTTCGAAATTATATTAGGACTAATTAGATTTTCCATTTGTTTAGTCAATTTACGGTTATCTACTTTAACTCTGAATAACCATATTTGTATATTACTTACGACAGACGTTGTCCTGCATACACAAAATGAATGATTTAATGCATACACACAAAATCATTCAAGTCGATCCAGCCGTTTAATTACAGTAAAGATAAACAAAAGAAAAAAACTTAGATACCGACTGCAGCGCCATCCAAACGCATACAAAATAATTCATTGAAATCCGTTTAGGAGGCGTTCGTGACATACACACGTACAGTAGAATTATATATATATATAAAGATAATAATTATGAAGTAAACTATTACTTACAGGGCACGACTAGCTGAATGTCTGGAAGCGATGCTGCCTAATCATCCAGACAACCAACAGCCCTTAAGTAGTTTGGCTTCGTTTTACAGAGAACAACTCTTCAAAGAACATCCTCACAGATCACAGGTAACTTTAATGGAAGAGATTTTCTTTTTATTACTTAAATGGGTAGACGAGCTCACAGCCAACCTGTTGTTAAGTGGTTACTTGGAGCCCATAGATATCTACAACGTAAATGCGCCACCCACCTTGAGATATAAGTTCTAAGGTCCCAGTATAATTACAACGGCTGCCCCACCCTTCAAACCGAAACGCATTACCGCTTCACGGTAAAAATAGGCGGGGTGGTGGTACCCGCGCGGACTCACAAGAGCTCCTACCACCAGTAAAAGGCATCAGCTCTAAATATTGCTAACTCTATTGTAATTAATGTATACGTATTATAAATATGTATTTTAGCTCGTGCCATGCCTTTTGGATGTATTCGTGGGCATAGAAATGACCGGGCAGAGTGTTCAGTTTGAACAAAAGTTCAACTACCGACGGCCCATGTATCTTGTTATGGAATTCCTATGGGGACTGGAAGAACACAGGGAATCTTTTAGGTAAATACACAATCGGCATACAAACTTAAATCTTTTAAATTTTCAATGACTGTCAATCACTCCCCAGGCATACTTAGCATCGAAAAAAAAAACTAATTCGCATGTTAGGTTCATTCGAACGCGTAATGTAATGCATCCACATTAATAAAACTGAATTAAATTTATTATTGAAAACATATCATAAACACATTTATTTGTATGGTCCCCCGCTTGAAGTAGGTGCTGGCGACATGTGCATAAACTTTTAACTTGGAATGCCAAATGTCCGAACAAAACTTGATAATTGCGATACGAGGAATATATAAGAAGTGCTTAGTCACTCTTCAATATGAGGTAATAGCTGGCGGACAGTCACCGCGCTTTCACTACAGAAAATTTTGTAATTAAAAAAATAGTGAAACAACATTTATTTTTCCCGGGATAAATAGTTGCTTAAGTCAGTATTCGGTCCTTAAACTAAGAGCCGATTCGTCGTTCCTTTGATACGTATGATATTCTCGGTGTTGCCAGAATAATGAATATTTTTAATGCTATAAAATTAACTATGGTTCTTTTTTTTATTACACCAGTCAATTAGCAAGAGAAGCAGAATCCAATATGGAGGCTGTACATCCACCTATATTTTTGCGTTTCGTCAATCTGTTGATGAACGACGCTATATTCTTACTGGATGAAGCATTAGGGAACATGGCTCAAATAAGAACTATGCAAACCGCACAGTAAGTATATTATAATATTTATTTTTTTTGCTTAACTGTGAATTAAGATAAGTATATGTTTTTTTCTTTATTATCGAGAGAGGGTAATGTTTTTTTAATAACACAAAATAAAGTTGTACACAAGCATCACCTTAACTTTTAAATCTATATCTATATCTATTCTATATTTCTCTATATATAAAAATGAATTGCTGTTCGTTAGTCTCGCCAAAACTCCAGAACGGCTGAACCGCTTTGGCTAATTTTGGTCTTGAATTATTCGTGGAAGTCCAGAGAAGGTTTAAAAGGTAGATAAATATGAAATTACTCGGAATTAAATAAAAATAACAATTTTGTTTTTCCTATGAAATGTCCCCAGTCGGACGGATTCCTTTTGTTTGTTTTAAGTTTATTTTATACAAAATTTTAGGTCTTTTATTTATCGATTGAGGCACTACGAAGTCTGCCGGGTCAGCTAGTTTTAAATAAAAGAATACTTATTGTGGCATAACTGTAATTAATCATGTGTTCTACAAAGTCGTAATACATTATTTTATTCTATCATCAATAGTTTTCGCAGGACATGCGATGTAAAGAATATTTTAAGTATTTTTTTTACACCTTGGGTTACATTATTGAAATTTTAATAAGGATCTCTAATTTTTTCAAAAAAGATTATAGCCTATATCACTCGGGAATAGTGTCGCTTCCAAACAGTGAAATAATTTTTCAAATCGGTTAAGTAGTTTCAGAGCCTATTCAATACAAACAAACAAACAAATCTTTCCTCTTTATAATATTAAGTATAGATAAAGGTTAATGTTCTTTTAATAATACAAAGTAATGTTGTATACAAGCATCACTTTAAGTTTTAAATCTGTTATATAAATGTGTAAAAAAAAAAAACAATTACAGACAATCCGGTGCGTGGAGGAACTTGCCGGTGCACGAACGCGAACAAAATTTCTCGAATTTATCTCACATCGGGATGTTGGCGCGCTTCGACAACATACTCGGGCGCGACACGATCCGCATGCTGGTGCGGCTCACCGCGCACGCGCCGCACGTTTTCTGTCACCCGACGCTCGTCGACCGGATCGCGTCGATGCTCAACTACTTCCTGCTGAACCTGGTCGGACCTAACAAAAAGAATTTGAAAGTTAGTAAACTTGTTAACATGTTCTCGCGGATTTTCCATGTTAATATTGCGATGGATGTGTGGAGTAACGAGAATGGATAGAATACGGAATGAATATGTTAGAGGAAGTCTGAAAGTGGCACCTGTGACAAAGAAGCTGAGAAGTGCGCGTTTGGGATGGTATGGACATGTGATGAGACAAAATGAAAATGAGGTTGGTAAGAAAATGTTAACTATGAATGTGAAAGGATATAGAGGAAGAGGTAGACCTAAGAAGAAATGGATGGGTTGCGTGAAAGACGATTTGGGTAAGACGTGAGTGAGCGAAGAAATGGTATATGATAGAAGAGTATGGAAGGAGAAAACACGTTCTGCCGACCCCAGGTAACTGGGAGAAGGGCAGGATAATGATGATGATGTTCTCGCGGATTTCCCTCCTGCGCTTCCAGATCTAGAGGCTTGAAGCGTTTCGAGTACATTGGACCGAGGTGGACTCAGTTGCCTTCTTTATTCGGTCAGTCCAGCGGGTTGGTGATCGGCCGCGTGACCTCTCGGCAATCCTCGGGAATATGGGTGACCTAACAAACGACGATCACTCTGACAAGAGCGTCCGACTAAGAAGAAGAAACTTGTTACAACAATCAAAAAAAAGACGGTGTTATCGACTAAATAAGATTATATATATCGGAGAAACCGCATAATTAACACCATCGTCAGACATCATAGGGGCGAATAGGGTGATCGAGCTAAGAGAAATATTGAGTACACAAAACACGTTTGTTGTTTTAGAACAATTTAGAAATTATCTCTTGACGTTAGCAAACGAATACGAATGACAGTTCTTAGGGTGGAGGCACCGCTCTTCAAGAAGGTCGGTTGGTAAGTGAAATCGCGTCTATGCGCGCCTCCATCGGCTAGGATCTGTCGTAGCACGAAGTTAGCCGAGCTCCGACGGCGTTACGATCGTGTTGTCACCTCTTGGGAATCGTGCTTTGCTTCGTTTTGCTACTTCATACATACACATATTTTTAAGGTCTTTGCAGGCATACAGACATGGCACATACACGGTGGTGAGGCAATCGATGGTGAATGCCAAAGCTACAGTCATGTAGCAGCCTACTACTGAGAGCTCTCGACAGGATTATTTTAAAGAAAGGCACCGGGATCACCTAAATAAATATAGAAAGAAATTTATGTTATTCAATCGAAAACCACAATTTAAAAGTCAGCAGCTAACACTTCCCCGTTTTTTCGTGACTAATTTTGTTAACCCTAAAACATTTCAGGTAAAAGACATGAAGGAATACGAGTTCGACCCGGCCAGTACAGTGCTGGACATTTGTCGTATGTACGTTGAGCTAGGTAACAACGAGCGGTTCTGCAACGCCGTGTCCGACGACGGCCGCTCCTACTCGCCGCAACTGTTCACCCTCGCTGAAACTGTACTAGGTAACCTTGGCCTAAAGGTCTAGATACCAAGCCATAAACTAAAAAAAAAAAAATAGTTAACTTCTTGGATGATTTTTTTTATTGCTTGGATGGGACGAGCTCACAGCCCACCTGGTGTTAAATGGTTACTGGAGCCCATAGGCATCTACAACGTAAATGCGCCACCCACCTCGAGATATGAGTTCTAAGGTCTCAAGTTTAGTTACAACGGCTATCCCACCCTTCAAACCGAAACGCATTACTGCTTCAAGGCAGAAATAGGCGGGGTGGTGGTACCTACCCGCGCGGACTCACAAGAGGTCCTACCACCAGTGAAAATGTAATATGCTTTGCGTCGACCCTGTCCCGCCGTCTCAATGGCCCCGACTGGTCTCCGACCCGGTCCGCGGTAGGGCGCCAGCTGTGAGCGGCAGGAGTGTTTAGTGAGGTTCGGCTTCCACATACGGGATTCGGTGATTTTTTTCTGTATAAAAAAAGGTAACCTCTTAGGGTTGTCACACGGTATTTTTTTATTATAAATGCTATAAAAGCCGTATTATATGTACGATCAGCAACTATTTGAGTTACGTAGCCCTGTTTGGAATTGTGCTCAAGTCGGAACAGTGATCAATGATCGGTAGGCAGCGGCTTGACTCTGCCCCAGGTATTTCTGAGGTCCATAAGCGACAGTAACCACTCACCATCAGGTGGACCGTATGCTAGTCTGTCAATACGGCACAAAAAAGTGTATCTTCAATCAGTGCCTAGTAACGTAATGTTTTATTTATAGTCAGTGACGTAAGCGCCGTATGTATACGCATGAGTATAACACTGAAAAAGAACTAAACCTGATTTCTTACCAATTCTTCTCTAACCTATGGTAAAGTTATTACCATTTTAAAGTGCTTGTAGAAGCTTCCTTTAAGAAAAAGAACGCTTTAATTGTTTTGTTATTTATTGACACACTACTATTTTTTTTTTTACATACTAACGATTTAGCCTTCAGCCTCAAGTCTGAACGATACATTTTCTTCATAGTAAATTTTACTATCATGGTTACCGTAATAACAGATTTATGATTTGATAGCGACCCGCCCTCGCTTCGCTTCGGAAACATTAAAACACAAATGAAACAAAAAAAAAAAAAAAAATTTAGCCTATGTTCATCAGGGACAATGTCGGCTTCTAATGGAAAAAGAATTTTTCAAATCGGTCCAGTAGTTTCGGAGCCTATTCGAAACAAACAAACAAACAAATCTTTCCTCTTTATAATATTAGTATAGATGTACGAAATTTACAATATAATCTTAACAAACAAAGTTTGTTTGCTGTATAGTTTGGTTAACGTAACAAATAAAATGTGAACAGTCCGCATCGGTGGGGGCTTTCTCATAAGCACACTGCGGGAGGTTGCCGAGCGAGTGAGACTGCTCGCCGAACAGAAGCAGAGAGACGAGGAAATACTCGCGAACGCTCCCGACGAGTTCCTCGATCCGATCATGAGCACCATCATGTTGGACCCCGTCGTGCTTCCGAGCTCGAGGACCACAGTCGACAGGACGACAATTGCCAGGTATTTTTTGAAGTTATACTTCTTTAGGCGCGTCATGAAAAATTGACGAGAGTGAAATTTTACGATGCGCGCGCACTGTGACACAAAATTAACAGAAATGAAGTTGGCCACTAAATCGCTCATTACAATACGACCGACGTAACTTGGCGAGTCTGAATTTAGCCGCAGGTGAACTTTCGCGCATGTACACTCGTAAAAAAAGTGTTATTAGCATTCATTTTTTAGTAATATAAATGACCAAATTATTATTTAATATAATTCATACTAAATATTATTAAATTATTAACGTTAAATATTAGTTATTAATTATATAATATGTATTTCTGCCCTGAAACAAACAAGTACATCTCTGCTCTACTGACAACCCTCCAAATTTGAATTTATTAATCGGCTGATTTGAGATTGCGTTTTCGGGAGAGATTTCAATACACCCATCGCATAGAATGCACGTGTAAGAGATCTTTGAACATTATATTAAGCGTGTGGACGGTCTGCCTTTTTAACCGACTTCAAAAAAGGATGAGGTTATTCGACTAGTTATTTTATGTGTTGATTTGTTTTCTAGGTGAACCGATTTTAATGATTCTTTTTTTAACATAAATGTGGTTTGAGCGATCAGAGTTATAAAATTGTCCATATTATTTTCAGGCATCTTTTAAGTGATCAGTCAGATCCATTCAACAGGTCGCCGCTCTCCATGGATCAAGTAAAATCAGACACTGAACTCAAAGAAAGAATACACAGTTGGATCGCTGAAGCCAAAAAGAATAGTTCACAATCGACGAGCACTAAAAATTAGGGCTGTTTTCTTTTAAATGTACATTTTAATTAAACTTTAAGAATTTATTAATAAATATGTTTTAGATATAGTAGCGAAATTTCAGGTCGAATAAGTACTGAATTTTTTAACTGATGGTGAGACTGTACATAAATAATAATAAATACATTTAGTTCATTCTAGATGATTCTTTAAAATTTTCAATCAACCTTTTTATTACCTAAGAGTTCGATTTCGTTGCTCACTTGAGACCACAGCATAGTTTCCGCTGTTGTCTATGACACAAGAAAATCATTATACTTGAAATAGCGTTTTTTTTTTTAAAGTACTTTCTTCATATCTTTCGTAAAGTTTCGATTTCATTTAATCGTTGAACACCAGACTAGAAACCATTTTTAGCCCAGTGGACTGCAGCGGACATCCTGTTACCGCCAATAAGTAGGGTCGGGGGGAGAGGAGGGGTTGGGGGGTGACAGACACAATGTCTGTCATCTGTCATCTCTCGGAAAATAATGAGTAGGTAGGTACTCACTGTTTCCATAAGTCGTCCACTATTTTTGAGTCATTTTTTCACCTCCACGATTTTTGGACAATTCTTGATATTGGTGATGGTGGTGGGTTACTTGTTTGGCGTCGTTAAATTACTTTTAATTGTTAGCTATATTGTAGTGTTACTATTCGGGCTTTTAACGTCGTACTATATCAAAATGTTGAATAAAAAAATTTCTATGAATTCATGACACCGTGTCTATATTAAACCACAAGGGATATTGTTTACAAAAATAAATGAAATATACCAATTTGTCCAGAAAATATTTTTACATTTGTTAAATTGTATACTAAGTAACTAAAATAAATAAATGAGAGTGATTTATTACTGGTGTAAGGACATCTTATGAGTCCGCACGGGTAGGTACAACCACCCTGCCTATTTCTGCCATGAAGCAGTAATGCGTTTCGGTTTGAGGGACGGGGCCATTGTAACTATGCTGAGACCTTAAAACTCATATTTCAAGGAGAGTGGCGGCGTTTACGTTGGTGATGTCTATGGGCTCCAGTAACCACTTAACACCAGGTGGGCTGTGAGCTCGTCCACCCATACAAGCAATTTTTTTTTTATTCAGGTACCATACATAGGATATGGTAAATATTTGTTTAAAATTTACTTGTGGTTATTATTTTAAACTCTGATAAGTACATAATATTAAGTTTAGGGAGACTTTTCCGTTTCTTACATATCATTTGTTGATAAGATTGTTTTTATGTTTTTAATGAAAATGTTTGATTTTTCAAATAGTAAATTCGGCATTTGGTCGAACACCTCGGACCTTTTGCCACCGCTTTGTGGCATCTATAGAATATATTTAGTTAATAAAAACATTCCTTCAAATATAAATATATATATTTTTTAGCCAGCGTTATTTTTGGTTTAAATTTTTAAATAGAAAAATATCCGAAAATTATTATACAATAAAAACAGACTCCAGTTTATTTTGTTTGTTTTTTTTTTTTTTTGAAGTGTTTCAATTGCTTAAAAATTAATTTTGTACAATTTTAATGATTTAATATTTTCTCTCCACCGTGTTTATATTCTATGAGTTTTGCTACATGTTTTGTTTTTTAATATAGTCAACTATTACTAATGTGTTAAAATATACTAGAGAGGAATGATTATAGACGCTTGTAACAGAATCGATAATTTATTTTATTTTATTCTGTTGAAATAATGGAAAGATAAATTAACAAATTAAAACTATAAAAATAGAAAAACATCATAACAATACTGAAACTAGTCTTTAGCTTTGTTATGTTGATCCATGATATATATTTTTTTTTACTGTACATTGTTTTGTGATAAAGGACAGAATTTAAATTATTTATGTTTTTTTTTTCAGTGTGTAGAAACTGTGTAAATAAATTTTCTTAATGCATAATATTTTTTATTTTCTTAATAGGTATTTTGAACTATTTTTAATCGTTCCCCAAAATAAGGGCAGGTGCGATGTAGTGTTGGTTATTACTAATTCCAACTAAAGTCACATTTGAAAATGTTACCACTAAAACGACATGTTCTGCTGTGATTGCTAAATATATATGAGAAATCAATATGTACACGCGAGCCACGTGTTTTACGCTGACGGTAAAGTTGGCCTTGACAAAAGCTTAGGTATCTCGACGCTGGTAGCTTCAAAGGGCTATTTCAGTTTCTCCGGGTTAGAAGGCAAACTCGTGGGGCTTACTCAGTGACTTGTCTGTCAGTGACTAGGTTGCTTAAGGAACTCAGCGACAAAGTTCGATAACAACGGTGACCGAAGCTTGGTGAGCCTAAAACTACCGACATGCTTAGAGCGACGGTGGCTATATGTTGCCTGGTTGCAGGGTTATTAGAGGCGGCCAACATAAGTGGGTTATCATATCACGACGATTTTTCAAAGAAGCGTTCTGATGCTGTCTTCGGGCACAGGTACGTAGTGCTCGAGTCTCGATTTTGAGGTTGTCATAAAGATTTACATTCCTCATTGGATGACATGAAGAGAGTTAATATGAGGGCGGGTTCGGTGACCAAACACTACACTTGCTTAGGTAATTACCATACGTAATTACCATACGTATGCAAGTTTTGTAGAGTTTCACCCTGTAAAGAAGAAAGAACACCTCCATGACGACCTGGACTTAGAGTCCACCAGTAAGTGTATGCAGTCGGCGTCGATGCGCCACTTCGATAAAGCGGCACGACATGAGAACCCTCTCATCGTGACCGCCGGTAACTACATTCCCGATCCTGCGGACAGAATGGAAAGCAGTCGACGTTGCCCAAAACACGTCATCTCGGATCCTCCCGATCCACTAACGGTGCTTCAAGGTACTTCAAGCACCGGTCACCGTTCTCGTCGAACCCGTCGCTTGCGACGAAGGGCTCGACGAGTAAATTAACTCTCAGACACAGCCCACTGAGTTTCTCGTCGGATCTTCTCAGTGGGTCGCGTTTCCGATCCGGTGGTAGATTCTGCGAAGCACGACTCTTGCTAGGGTTCATGTTAGCATCGTCGTCAGGTTTGAGCCCCGTGAGCTCACCTACAAACGTTAGGGCGAAGCTGAAATAGCCTCTCAAGGCTATCAGCACAGGTAGGAAAAAATAAAAAAATAAAGAACCGCGTAACTTCACCGACCAATCTGCGTCGCAGAAATAGGATTTATAGTATCTGCCGATACGGGCTTATTACATACAGCCTACAACTGGGAATTGCGTAAGTTTCTTGAGATTCATTTTTTAAACTTGTTCCTGCCTACCGAATTTGAATAGTCATATCCACATGTTTTGAGGGTGACCAGGTAAGGGCTATATTTGGGTTATATATCAGGTTAAGAAAATATGAAGTTACAAAACCTGCAAACATTTATTCTTAAGTTCTCTTAAGTTCTTAAGATAAAAGTCTAAATATCTTCTTTACATCAGATAACAGACGAACTCACATTCCACTTCTTAAAAATCTTCGCACACATTAAAGAGCAGTACAGTACTCTAGTTTTAAATTAAAATCTTCAAATTTAACTTCTAATACTTACTTTTTCTCCTACCTACGCCGAAAGTTCGGTTTTCGTCCCGCTGTATAGGGAAGAAAGTGTAACTTTTCTCCCTGGGTACAAGTGCGCATGCGCGTTAGTGTCCACGTCTGCTCTCACGCACCTAAAATTATCCGCCATTGTTGTGCTCGGGTAATTTGCAATATTGTGTTTAGTGTAAAATTGTAATAAACAAAAGGCAATAAAATTTAATAGTGAAGTATTAAACAAAGATGAGTTCATCAGACAGTTCTTATTCAATTAGTAGTAGTTTATTTAAAAATTAAAAAACAGTTAAATTGTTTTTTTTAAGAAAACGGGGGGCTCCACCCCCCCCCCCTAACCCCGGCCAGGGCGTCGCCCCTGGACCCCGGCTCGGTACTCCACGAACTTTCGGCTTGGTAGGAGAAAAAATAGTATGTGCACCGCGGGAGAAAAGTTGGACATTTCCGCCCGCGGGTAAAATTGCCAAACACTTTTCTCCCTTGGTGCACAATGTACTATTCTTAATGATATGAACTAGAAAATATATGTTTTAAATACCAATCGAGACCAAAATTTACTATTTTTTTATTTATCTTGCTGAAACAGTTATTTCTAGAGCCTTTAGCTTACCAAATCAAAAAAATACTTTTGGTCATGGTCATGGCGGAATAATCAGCTGTTAATTGCAACGAAAGTGATTACGTTAAATTTTACTTTAAAATGTATAATTTATATCATAAAAAAATTGCGTACTTCCAATTACCAATTCTTAATAGCTATCGGATATAATTCATTGTACAATATTAAAAAAGGGTTTGTAGTAATGGCGCGACATTCCTTGTCATCTGTCAGGTTCACTCATCCATTGTGCAGAAAAAATGTGACTCGTTCAATTTATAACTCTTGTTTTTATCTAATAAGTTGTAGTTGAACATTAAGTACAAAATTTAAATGTTTCCCATGTGTAACCAAACTTGTACTTCAATAGTTTTACAGTAAGAAAACCGTGCTCTAAAAGCAGCTTGCCAGGCCTAATAACAAATTTCAATACAAAGAGTGTACGCGGCTTCACTGCTCGGACTTGGTGTTTTTCTTATTTGGTGACAGTTAACTGTTAATTTGTAATAGAAAAAGTGATAAGTGCAGTGCTCGTATTAATTTCGTGAAAGATGTCGGGGCGAGTACGAAAGCAAACGGATTGTTCTGTGGGTAAGCAGGGCCCGATGCGGGCAACGCTGCCTGTGTCTTCGGTAATGAAGCAGAGCGGTGGTTTCAAGAAGAATACCAGCAACAGTCCGACTATGTCTCCCACGAATATGTGGCGTAGGATATCACCAGATCACGCCCTCTCAGGTCAAAGGAGTCCTGGTGCTATAAATTACAAAGGTGATAACGCTCATTATTTCACAATCAAATTCACCTCCACTAATAATGTAGATTAAGACATTCGTAACTAAATAGATTGAAATAATGAAATTACACAGAAAGTGAACTATAATAAAATTAAAACAATGTTACGATAAATCAAATTTCCTTTTACGAATTTAAATTCCACTGCAAAACATCTCAACATTCACTAGTATTAAGAGGCATTATGTATAAAACAATATGCCAAATAATCATGTGGCATTTACATTGTATTTATGAACTGTAACAACTGTAACTCCAGGACCTCTATGCAAATAAATAAAACAAAAGAAAATAAATACTAAAAGTAGGTAATGATCACTATTAATTCTATTATAGTAACAATTTCTCATTATCTACATGGATGGCACCCCAAAAATTACACTATAATTATTATATCCTGACAACGTTTTAATAAATAAATTATGGACAGTTGTTATTAAAAACCCAGACACAGTAATTAGACTGGTTTGCCACATGAAATATTTACGTAAGATGGCAATCAAACCCATAACCATTTGCCCAACAGTCAGAGTGCTTACTATGATGCTGACTTATTGGATCTGGTAACCACATGGTGGACCACACCAGCACACACTAGGTGAACTGTGTATTGTATAAGAATCAAAAATTTCTTAAATGTTCTGTGTTTAATATATTGGTTTATTACTTAAACTTTACTGTACTTAAACTTTAATTTCTAGCTAAGTTGTATATTGTAGAAAATTAATGAATTCAATTTAACTGAAAGCCTTCATTTTACTTTAGACTAACCATAGAATACACATTTTGTATTATTTTTTTTTGACTGATCATTCAATAGATTTCTGGAACACAAAGACCTGCTTCAGATAATTTAAATAGTACTAAATATTTGATATGTTCTTAAAATACTACCCTCAAAGGCTTTTACCTAATGGTTAGTAAGTAGTCATCACTCTTGAACAATTTCAAAGCTGGCAGCACACTCAAGGTACTGTTTATCACGAGTCAAAAGCTATCATCTCTCCATTATTTAAATCAAAATAAAGATAATGTTTGTGGTCAATGCCTCTCTGAGTCTTAATCTCTTCTTTGTTTTTGGTTGTAATTGTATTGTGATGAAACTTTGTGCAGGTGTTATGGCACTGCAGGAAAAGTGTCTAACATAGTACCATAAATGTATGATAGGTGGCATAACTAGTTTCAACAAATCAATAATATTTTGTACAATTTGAAAGAGACATTGCTGCACAAAACCATTTTCCTCTATTACATTATATAAAAATTTTTTTAAACAACAAACTAATTCTTTAGACACATTTTCATTAATTCTGATATAAATATGAACATGTACAATTCACAAAAAGTGTATTAATTCTGCAGTTGATATTTAACATGTTCTATTTTCAGGCAAAGGTCGTTTTGGATCCAGTGTAATTCGACGGACAGCCTCCCTAGACACGCTTTATCATAAAGGGCAGTGGCCAAGGGATTATTACCTACATGCAGGACAGCTACAAGTAGACAAATCAACACAAGTAAGTGTCTTTAAATAACAAGCATCTCTTTAAACTATTTATTGCTCATTTATGGCTCAAGATCTACTGTAAATTAATTGAGACAGAGAAGTGACTAGACATTGTCCATACAACAACCTTTTTTTTTCATTCTCTAAACCATTTTTCTACATCTATAGATATGTATGACACAAAAATACTTTTAAACCTATGTAGAAGTTTTATTTGAAAAGTAGTTAATCAAATGTTTAATACAAATGTTCACTGGTAGTAGGACCTCTTGGGAGTCCGCATGGGTAGGTACCACCACTCCGCCTATTTCCGCCGTGAAGCACTAATGCGTTTCGGTTCGAAGGGTAGGGTAGCCGTTGTAACTATACTGAGACCTTAGAACTTATATCTCGAGGTGGGTGGCGCGTTTACGTTGTAGATGTCTATGGGCTCCAGTAACCACTTAACACCAGGTGGGCTGTGGGCTCGTCCACTCATCTAAGCAATAAAAANGGGTAGGTACCACCACTCCGCCTATTTCCGCCGTGAAGCACTAATGCGTTTCGGTTCGAAGGGTAGGGTAGCCGTTGTAACTATACTGAGACCTTAGAACTTATATCTCGAGGTGGGTGGCGCGTTTACGTTGTAGATGTCTATGGGCTCCAGTAACCACTTAACACCAGGTGGGCTGTGGGCTCGTCCACTCATCTAAGCAATAAAAAAAAAAAAAAACATAATGTAGCTGTGTTAATTGGATTGTTAATATTGAAAATGGTACAGACAGAATTGATTGTATAACTTGTTGCACTGTCTATTTCTCTCCCATTGTCATACATTCTGATTTGAATTCTAGATTATAAAGCAAATACCAGTATTAACATTGTAGTGATAGATGCTAGTACCTTACCCATCCATCCTAACTTACAAAAAAATAACATCATTTCTATTACAATTTATGTAATAATGTTGATAAATTATTGAATTGCCTCTCACTAGACTGATGATGGTGGTGGAACATCAGGACGTTCATCCCGAGGATCCGATGATGACAAATTAGATAGATTTCTCCGAAGTCGTCTTCAGCGTCCATACAAACCATCAGCCTCAGGGGACTATTCTGTACATACAATGACTACAGCCTTATGTAAGTTTGGATAGAAGACATTCTTCCATTGATTAATTTGTTCATAGTCATCACTTTGGTTTTTTTTGGGGCATAAGAGAAATCCTTTCTGAAGTCGAAATGCTATTAACAATTAAACAATAACTTACAGGAAAATAATATTAAATTTAAGGACACAGTGAACAGAAATTATTGAAATACAATTTATTTATTACAGTCTATCAGTATTATGTTAAGAATGAACAGCACTACCCATAGGATTTTTCTTTTTCAGGAATTGTCCCCTTACATCTGGTATAAATATTTTCTAATAAAAAGGATTTATTAAAAAATGTAAATACAAAGAAAAAAGTTGTAAATCACGTTTCACAATGTATAAATTAAAATCGAGATTTTGATTGAACTTCAATTACAAATTGACAACTAATGATTTAAGTTCAGTGCTTCATTGTGTTTCCCATGTTATTTATAGGGTCGCGCTTCGGTAGTGGCAATGTACCGCTTAGGGCAGCTCGTTCATCGGTCGAAGGCCTAAATCAAGAAATAGAAAGACTTGTGCTGTATCCAGCGAGTGGCACGCAAACCACACATTTGGATCGATTACGGGATAAAGTATGTAAAACGCTTCTTGTTCACATTTTATTAGAAAAATGTCATTCTTTAAAAATATAGGGTTATTTAGTTTATATTTATTGCCATTTTTTTACATATAGAGCCTTGCCTTGGACTTATTTTCGCCTTGAGAACCTTATAAAGCCTTAGGAATTGAGAAGTAGTATTGACATGGATGAATGTTTTTATTTTGTCATCACTCCATACACTATAGTTCCCGTAGACAATCGTTTATTAACAACTTGTATAATTGTTAAATCTCACATTATAGGTAACACCAGAAGGGCATAGGGCTCCCTTAGCTGAATTACTTCGTCGTTCTGTGAACACTCAAACCCCACACGACCTGAGCCATACTGCACATTCTTCAGGTAAAACTATAGAAATAATTTTACTAGAATCATCAACTCCGTTTGTAGATCTAATCAACAAGGATTGGAGCCACTAATGTGCCTGTGACAGTGTCCTAAAAAAATTAAATAAAAATGCAATGAACCTAACATATAAGATATATGAAAAGTGCTTCTCAATATAATATGTTCTAACAAGAATAACATATTTCACAACAAAGCTAGATTGCAAAAAAATTTTGTCAACATCATGGTCATGTAATCATACTGTAAACATAGCAACACTTATCTGTAAAACTGATAAAGATATCAATTTACTTCAAAAGTAAAGTAAATAAACTTAAACATAATTTTGTTTATAAGTAGGTAAGAAACAAATTATTTTTTTATGTTGCTACGTTTCAGTTCATTGCACTGTGAACTAGATAATATTTCATCATATTTACATTAAGAAATAGGCTTTTTTTGTTACAACACATACCTAATATTAATATAATTTTGTACAAAATTAATTCTACAATCACATTACAAATTAATTTACTTGCTATCCAAATGCATTAAAATAAATTGTGGGAATAGATCCATCATCCAGAGGGTCATTCTCCAGCGATGGGTCTGCGGAGCTTCTCGCGGCAGGTCTATAAACTGTATTACGGCTTCTAGTGACTGATCTCCCTTGCAACCTACGTTAGATAAACTGATGCACTGATGAAATACAATACTGATTGACAGGTCCTAGCATGGAAACTTTTTGATTTTAGTTTGGCTTCTGTACCAGTAATTTGTAGGAAACATTAAATTGATTTGTAGAGGTTTATATTTAATATAGATAGTTTGAAATTTTTTATTGCTTTTCAAATAAGTTTGTATAGGATTTGATGAATTTAGAAAACATCTATATTTAAGACGCGTTTTTATTTTTTGATAGAGCTTAATATTCAGTTACACGTTTTACAGGCGGCAGCGTTTGTTCATCTCCCGATCTCGATGGATCTAAGCTTGGTACTTCCCCCCAGATAAACCGCTTCTTAGCAAGGGAACCCCCTGACGGCTGTGAAAAGGTTAGTCAAATAGTACTTACAATATTTTCTTGTTTATTTATTTAAAACCATGAAAACCGTATTCGTACATTTTAATTAAGTACCAAAATTAATTGGTCAACATTATGAATAAAATGTAAGAATTTTTTTTTAAATTACATCCCCAATCCAGACGGCTAAACAACATACAGTCACCATCGCCTTAGACACGTTATTTTGGATCTTCCGATCCACTCGGTGCTTTTAGTCTTTCCGAGCACTAGTCACCGTGCGTCTGTGAGCTCACCTACATATTCGGTGAAGACAAATAACCCCTCGAAGTTACTAGCAGTACGTAGGAAAAAAAAACTAACTGACCCGACAGATGTTGCTGGGTACACAAGTCTTAAATCCGACAACTCCAAACTTTTTTTTCAGAAACTACACGTTTCTGATAGACATAATATATTCTGCTATAAATATTATTTGAATTGACACTTCAAACTCAAGCGTCTGCCTGTATATAGCAATTAAAAAAACAAATCATATCCAGGTGAATCTGAAAGCCGGCGAAGGTGCGTACACAGAAGCGATGTCTGTGATAAAGCCAGCCGTGGCTGGGTTCACGTTACGGCCGTCGCAGGGCTCCGCCTTCCAGCCGCTCCAGCCGGCGCCGCACCATTACCCGCACACGCACTGACTCGCCCAGCTCTCTCCGACCGCCTCCATGTTCCGTCTACACGCTCCAAATTGTCCAGTTTTAACTAAAGAAAAATACGAAACTCGCCGCATTAGCACCACGGTACAAAAAAATCTACTATAATCTGTAAGTGCTAGTGGTTTTAATTTCTCCCAATACTTAGTGAAACCGCTAAAATGGCAACATTAGTTAAATATTATCTATGAATAATATTTGGTTTGAGCGAGCTTACTGGTACTGTGTGGCTACTGTTCTGTATCTAGTATTTCTTAGTTAAAACTGCAAGACTGGGTATAAGATCATCATACGAATTTTGACTCAACTTTGTAAATCTGGTTCTTACTATATTTCATGGCCTCGTTCAAATCGCGAGGTTGCTTTCCTATGGCATACACAATACAAATTACACAATGTGCTATTTGAAAACTTGTTAACATAAAAAATTAATTCAAAGAACCGTTCAACGCAATTGTGGTGCAAAATTTTATTTTAGTATTAAATCTCTGAATTGTTGCTCTCTACAAGAGACAGTACGACATTATTATCACAATGTAACCAAATATATATTATGTATTGTGAATGCCATTTCACTAAAAATTAGTAATCTGACATAAAAAAAATGGATGGCTGTCACATCTTAAATTAATTCTTATTTTTAATTTTGTGTTAAGTAACCATGCCGATTAGATTTTTACGTTTTATTTTCAAATGAATTCTAGTATTAGGATGAAAATAAAGAGACTTGCTTTCGTGGACGTTTGAACATAGTTCAATCTGAGTTGTAAAAATATCTGTAGTCAGTACTGTACATACTGAACTTGTATCACACCGCACACAAGAGCGGAGTTTCTTATTTTAAAAACACTAAATGGAATGTTTAAAATGCGATTTAAATTTATAAACATTAATCTATAATGACAATAATGACTTAATCTGTGTAATAAGTTACGTGTCTAAATCTGAGTATCTATTGATTGCCCGATACAGTAAATATCACATTAATGCAAACCTTTCACAAAAAGTATTGTCTGAAAGAAAAACAACCAAAGGATTTTATCACAATTTTAATGAATTAGTTTCCATTATTTTTTGTCGATCGCGGTCTTGTTACACAAATGAAGAATTTGTATTAAGTAGGGAAATTTAGGGACAGGTACTAATTTTTGTTAGTAAATGTTGTGTTGTTTTTTGTATGAATTGTGGAATCAGAACATAAAATCGAATAATAAAAATCTAGGACACGTTAGCACTTGCAAGCTTGTGAATTTTTACTAGCTGGCAACATCGTCCTTCCTTGTTTAGTAATAAAAGAATCTTGCATTCGACTTGAAATACTTCAATTACCAATATAATGAGCCTTATACCTCATGTCTCAAGCACTAGTGTCTTTCTCTGATTCCTGCATAGTTCAAACATATTTTTATTGTTTAAATGGATGGACGAAATTACGGCCCACTTGTTAAGTGCTTACCGGAACTCATAGATATTCACTTCGAAAATTCACCACCCACCTTGGGACATGAGTGCTAAACCATAGTTTTACAGTACAACGGCTGCACCACCCTTCAAACCGAAACGCATTACTGCTTCACGGCAGAAATAGACAGAGTGATGCTACCTAGTAAACTAAATGCCATAAGTTATTAAAATACAAAAGAAATATACAGAAGAATTAAGGATCAAATACATACATAAAACAAATTAAGAAAAGTGGATGAAATCGTCATTTGTGTAATAGCTCTATGTGATTTCTCTTCTTGAATGAAATTAAACATAGACAGTCGCAGATTTTTCATATACAATTAAGTTAGATTATTTGCACTCATTACTCCTGATAAATCTAATTACTTTGACTGGATTTACGTTATTTGATCTCATTTTATGTATTATTTTGAATTGTGTACATAACGCTGCAAACATACAAGTTGTTTTTTTTTTCTATGTAAGTGACTTAATTCTCGAAATAAGATATTTTTTTTCAGTTGATGTTACATGACATTGGACCAAATCAATGGGACAGAGTGTGTTTTTGGTCTTGTATAATATTGGTTGCTAATAAATTCTAATTCGAAGAGCTTTAAATTGTGGGATTTGATGAAATCAAAATTATAAAAATAAAAAAAATTGACTGAAATTTGTAAAATTAACTCATACTCTGATACAGGTACCTCATGCTTAGTATAAAGTTTAGTTTACCATAATCGTTCACCTCTGTTTTATACACTACATATTTTTTTATCTAGTGCGAGCTCATCATTTATGGGTGTAGTGTGAGAGCACTCCGTACAATCGTTGCCTTCAACTGTTCACATGAATACAAAAATACGTATCATTGGAGTGGCCATTGATACGAATATTTGTAATTTAATAGTATAATACACATTATGAGGTATTGCTACTAGAGCAGCAAAACATGTAACGATTGTTGACACTAAGGGCATTGTCTCCTTAGTATTCTCGCTTGCTCGTATTCGAGAAACCATTTGTCTACGTCAACCTTTCACAATGTCATTATTACTGTTTATACATAGTCGAAAATATTAATTTGATTACATTACATATTGTAATTTTTTGTATGAAAAGTTTTCTGTATCTGTATCAAGTGAACGAGTAGGTACTCCATTAAATGCTTTTTCCAGCATGGAGGGTTCAGACTATTCGGATTTCTCATTTAGGCCAAAACGCATTTCATCATCGAGACTGATATACTAGAATGTTGAGAACACACAAAACATAATATAGAAATCAAATCTGCTTTTACACAAACGCAATTATTTTGTATCCTTTTGTAAATTCGACAGCAAAAATATACATAATATATTTTTTGGATGGCTCACCTTTGGAATAAAAGAAATTAAGTATAAAATAAAAAATAAATTAATTAATTAAAAATATCATTGCTCAAATCAAAATTTTTACTAAGAGCCACACTTATGAAATGATGCCGAATTTGAAAATGTTTATCTTAGCGTTTGGAAATATATCCCATTGCTGAATGATGTATTAATAAATTAATGGAACGTTTTGAACTCAATAAATGAATGTGATTGTAATGTTAGTGATCAGGTTATGATCGTAACTTGACAACTCGGGTACTGGAAGCTATATTTGTATGCGACTCGCGCATTTAACGCGATCACAGTTATCCAGAGTTGTGAAGTGTAACGAAGGTGCTGCATAGTGATTGTAAGGGTGTACAGAGGACTGACTTGTGACTTAGGGCGGGCCGCACGGTTATCGGGAAGCGTTTTTTTATTATTTATTGGATATGCATTCGTCATTTAATCACTGAAATATTACATAACTACAGTTCTGTGGGAAACGCAAGCTTTCACGAAATAATAAATTGTTGGTCTATATCTTCTTGAACACGATATACGTGTTGTGATTATTCCCTTGTAATTTATCCCAGGTTTTACTTTCATATAAGTGGTTAGTATTAATGGATGTGAAAACATTGTCATGGAAGAAAAACCGAGCCAGTATTTAAAAATCCGGATTTCTGTGTAAAATGTTTCGATAATAAGTGCAATATAGCTGTAATGTGAATAAATAAACATTAGGTATCCATGTTTTGAACGTTTCTAATTCCCTCGAGTACTCTGACTAATAATATAGACACCATTGATTCTTTGCTTATTAAAATGCCGTTTAGAATTATTGGGAACACTCACGTACTTATAGTTCATTGATTTTGTATCTTACCAATTGCTTCCATGTTTGCTTATCCCCTTTCCCCACGTTTGAAATCCAAAACTGAAAGCTGTACTGAACTTAGACTAGGTCCAGGTTGTAATTTAGGATTTAGATAAGCCTTTCCCAATCTTAACTTAAGTTTTAATGACTTGACCCAAAAAGTTATTAGCTATTAATAAATGTGTGCTATAAATGTCCCCATTATTTTTTATTTAAAGTAAAATAACTGGGACTCGATGGATGTTCTTAAACAAAAATGTTTAGTTATTGCATATTCTGTCATTGTGACATTGCGTTAACTTTTGCATGTTTGTTTAGGAATGATGGTTTTTAAAGTACATAAAGATATTTTTATATGTTCAGGGTAGAAGCGCAAGATGTAATGTACCATAAAAATAACATGAATAGGACCTTAGATACGATAGTTCTTTTATAGATGGTTAATTTTATGTTTTAAATTTGCTTTTAGACTAATAAGTTTGTAATTTTTATTACTACGATATTAGATTTAAAACTAATATTTAAACTAAACCAAAAGTGCCCATTGATATAAGTTTACAGTTCAAGCAAGCCCTTTGTTTCGCATTTTGTTATGAATAATGTTTAGGCGACAAAATTAGAAATTAAGAAAATTATCATGGGATTGTTGAATTTTAGTTAACTAAAATTGTTGAGGTTTATTAATAAAAAATCAATTAGTTTTTTACAAGCAATGCTCAACAGAGGGCTTGTTTAGTTAGAGGCATTAACATCGTTATTAATAGTATATACTTTAAGTAAAAATAAGAATGGTTTTATTATAGTTTTGTTTCGGAGAAGAAATTCTAATTACTATTTTTGTTTCCAATATTTTATCACTTATCTGTTTTCACTGTATCTTGCTGTATTGCAGACATATCCAATATACAGACTGATTCAATGGAGTGCTCTTTTATTTATTTAGATTTATAAAGTTTACATCAAACAATGTTAACAAAGAAGCAGATTACACTCAAAACCTGAAGTCATTAATTATCCGTCTTTGCTAAACTTTTTATCACTAAATCTATACAAAAACAATGTATATTTGAATTGAATTGAATGTAATAAAACAGAATGTAGGTATATTTACCTAAAACTGAAGAACTGTACGATATATTTTTATTATTCGTAATGTAAATGTATCGAGTTCTCGATACGAAAACGGATCATTACATTAGATGGGAGTACTCTATAGTCAGCCTTCGAGATTTACGTTACCGTATGTCAAAACAGTTTTCGTACCTACTCCATCTACTCTCGATTATAAGTTTCAAGCTTCGAGAACGTGATGATTCGATTGTGAAACGAAAGTAAGTAAATTCATTTGTGCTGCTGAAATTATTATTTTTTACGGACGGTAGGAGCGCTGTTTAAATCCCATACATTTTGTTTCGATAGCAATACATACGAATATGNCATTATTCTATTTATTAATACACATACCTGACATACCTGTTCATAAATTAGTTTCTTTTTTAGATTTAAACAAGGCAAAAACTCGTATCGTAACAAAAACACAATATACATTTACACAGCAGAAACTCGGTCGGCCATATTGTTGTTTTGGTTTAATTAATATTGGCAGCACTGATTATAACGTTTCGTTTCTCTTTTCACTCATAGTATAGTAATCTCATAATTTGCGTACCTAATCGATGCATCGAATGAAAAACATCGATATATATTCGATGTTGAAGTATTTACAATACATCGGTTCAAGACGATGCATCGTTACTATACATCGAGTATTTTAAATAAATCGATGTATATCGTCCATCGCTACTCGATACGAAAACGGATCATTACATTAGATGGGAGTACTCTATAGTCAGCCTTCAAGATTTACGTTACCGTATGTCAAAACAGTTTTCGTATAGTAACCGGCAAACATCGTGAGCAAATGACCTTGACTGCGCAGAACCGAATTTTAGATCACTTTGGTGACGAGGGTGAGGCGCGACGGCAGGGGAAATCGTATCGAGCGCGTTATTGGTAGATCAGTCGAACCTTGCGTCCCGCACCGCGCCTTCGTTCCGCTTGCTCCCAAAAGTACGCTTGCGTACAGTGAAAAGTCTATCGTTACTAATCGTTAAGTTATATTTTGTTATAATTGCTTGTTGACTTTGTTGCCATTGCTATTTGTTGAGTGTTTGTTGATTTTTTATAAAAAATACACTATGCCGCGACAAACTGGTGTAGTATTCAAAAGAAAGGGTAGAAAAATTGTGTACGACGTATATTGCTTCATTATAAAACAGGGGAAGAATGATATTATGGAAAAAGTAAAACAGACTTCGGAAGCAACAAAAACATCAGTGAGTACTGTTAGGTGCATTATTAACGAAGCTAAAGGCTCTGGCTTGCTCATCGTGCTTGGGACTCCGGGTAAGAAAAGATCAGGGAAGAAGAAAGTTACCGGAATGGATAGTTTCGTTCAATCTGTAATAAAAAGATGTAATCATAATAACTACATAACAAGCAGCGAAACTCCGTACCGTAGAAAGGCTTCGAAAATTTTAAAGAAGATATACATTTTAATGGCTCGGAATGAAGTTTACGACGAATTATGAAAGAGCTAGGCTTCAGATGGAAAAAAAAAAAAAAAAATAATCGGAAGCTGGTAATTGAAAAAAGTAACATTCGATTACTACGAATCGAATATCTTCAAAAAATAATTAATTATAGACAAAAAAGAAGATCGAACCGACCGAGTCGTAAACTACACCGATGAGCCCTATGTCGACTTATCACGATGATGGCGACTCGGGTGATGAAAACAGTGATGATGATAATGGTCAAGATTATGATAACGAAAAAAAATTACAAATACCAGCTTCGCTTCAACTGAACGAAGACCTGGCAACAGCTCTAGTTTTGACTTAATAGAAGGAATATCTATTTTACCCCAAGATTAAATTATTATAATTATTAACCTATATTTTTTGTTGATGTTCTAATAAATATATAAATAAATACATATGTTGATTTTAATAATTTAATTGCATTATGACGCAGAGTAAATAAGGTTTTTGCACGTGAGTGTACCATGCGCAAACTTACCCCCACTACGTCAACAAATGCTCAAGAAGTTTGCCGGCTATTATACCTACTCCATCTACTCTCGATTATAAGTTTCGAGCTTCGAGAACGTGATGATTCGATTGTGAAACGAAAGTAAGTAAATTCATTTGTGCTGCTGAAATTATTATTTTTTACGGACGGTAGGAGCGCTGTTTAAATCCCATACATTTTGTTTCGATAGCAATACATACGAATAATAATATGGTTTCGATTATCATTCGTGCTGTACATGACCACTCTCAAGAATATAGTTATCTTAGTGGCGGATAGGGGTGGTGGTGGTAGCAAGGATTTTTATCTTTTGAATAATAATAGAGTAAGATCCCAGGGCCTCCAGACGTCACGTATTTACTGACGAACGAAATGTGGCCGATTGCGTAGTGTTAGTATGTACTAAGAACGCATGCCTACTTGCTACCTTGCTTAGACGGCCAATTTTCAGGTATCAGGTACTCAAGATACATAAAATACCTACCTACTTCACGTAAATTCTGAAAGCTGATTTTTATATATCCACCTGACAACTATTTTAAAACCTCTTACAAAAAGACAGACCGATTCAAGGGGCCAATCATTCCCTAAATTCAATTTAATACCTCTGTGGGTAAGAGCGCAAGGGCATTATTCACGCACATGAGACTGAGTGAGACATGTATTAGGATATAATGACTTCGCTCTCTCTATCTCTCTCTTACAGTTGACTCATATCAATTAATTATTAATATTAAAAGAAAATCAGTTAAAAATTAAAATATCAGGTAAATAATTAAAAATTAGTTTGTAAAAATAAGTATATCTAGCTATTTATAGTGATTTATTTTCAATATTTATCGATAATCAACTTCAACAATAACTCTTCTTGACATATATTTTGCCGAATAATAATACTTTTTTTCTTAATTGAGAGAAACTAACTGCTTTAAAGACAAGATGGCTTAATTTTTTTTTTAAATCCCTCTACACTATTTATAGTCAACTTTGTATTAAATGGTTAGCAGAGAACATGGCCTGACCTGGAGTGATGTAAAAGAGCATGCATTAGACAGGGTGAAGTGAAGATAACTTGTGAGGGCCCTATGTACCAGCAGGGTACCTTAGTACTACAACAACAACAACAACAACAAAAATGTGAAAAATTAAGGGGGAAAAAGCAATGGCTATGATATTAACAAGCATGAAATAGAATAATAAAATACATTTATTAGTTAAAATTTCTGTTTATTACCTTTAATCTATCAATTTACATTAATATATTAAATTTTTAGTATTGTAAACTTCTCTTAGTTTGTATGTCATCCAAAAGTATTCTTAGTTCTTCATCTTCAAATTTTCCTTCTAATGATGGTATCAGTGCTTTCGCTTCCTCTGGTGTTTCAGGACATAAATTTGCTAAGCTTGCCAATTCAAACTTGTGAAGTTTTTTTGATTGTAATAGGCTGAAAAATTAATTGACAAACACCAAATATTAATATTTTATACCACAACCCTTTACACTACAGCAAAGCCCATACTGGAGATAAAACTTGTTTATTGAATTTTGAAATATTTTTATTTAGTAGTGTCCATTGGTTTACTTAAAATTGATTTCAAATTACTTGTAAAATGCTTACCTAATTGAAAATATCTTACGTTGCTTATTCACACAAGCAAAAATGGCCTCAAGTCATCCACATCATTCTCCTGTCCTTCTCCCAATTAACCTGGGGTCGGCGCAACATATTTTCTCCTTCCATAGTCCTCTATCATAAACCATTTCTTTGCTCACTCCCCTCTTACAAATATTGTCATTCACAAAAACCACCTTGTGAAGGGTCAAAATAATATAACATTATTAAACTTACTGTCTAACAGCAGCTATTGTCTCTTTGTTTTTGAACTTTTTAAACATATTGGTATACGTCAGTGTTTTCATGAACACTTCAGAGAATTCTTGTTCCTCTTCAGCAGATTCATTTTGAGCTTTTCTATTTTCCAATAACATGTCAACTTCAGATATCATTAAAGTTTCAGCATTCTCAAATTCTATAAGCACAGAGAAATAAAATATTTACCAACAATCCTATGAATAATGAAACCACCGATATTTGGGTGCTTTAAAAATTTAGAAAGATTAATTGAATTTATATTTAATCACATCAATAAAATTTTGTCGTAATATAAAAAACATTTTGACCACAATATACATTTCATTTGCGTCCGAAGAACTTACTGTTGTTATTTGTATAAATCATACGTTATTTCATACCTTTTGGGAATTGCAGATCAGCTGCATCCTCTTCCACCACATATTGTAGAGGTCCAGTCATGATGATGGATTTATATGGTGACTAGCTTAAAAATTTATCACAAATTCAAGAATACAGCTAGATTTTTATTATACGTGACTTCCCAACTTCTACTGTTTAAATAATACAACGGCTTATTTAACAACGAACCTTTCTGTATCTAATGCTTTGTTTTGAAAAGTGTTTCCTTCTTCATGTAACCTTTTGAACAATGCAAAACCCTCAAATATTAAGTGTTTAATCTATCATTAAAACAATTATGTATCTATGTAGAAATTAAACGTTAATTAAGTTGAATATTGTGGAAGCTAACTAGTAGTAGTAGTTTTATTGGCTAAACTTTCCTTTTAGGTCCGTCGATTTGGAAGTTCACAATATTTTTGTAGATAGTACTCATAAATAAAAAGATTTTTGCAAAATTTTAAGTTGCGGAGACTCACGGTTTACGAGATATAATTTTTTAAAGTTTCCGTAAACATTAGAAAAATCGTCAAGGTAGATGTCACATTTGACGTTTCAGGTTCCATTCACGGCAAGCGTGTATTTTGTTAAATTTTATGTCATGTTATTACCGAAATATATTTTATTATTTTAATATATTCACATAGTAAATTTGTTGTAATTAATGTGCATTGTAATTGTTTCTGTAATAAGCAATTATATAGACTTTTTTACACAAAAAGTAACAAAATGTTGTTTATACTGTGGAACGGAACGTGAAATGACGTATTTTTTTATAGCGTCTTTTTAGAAGTCGTCGTGGCCTTTTTTTTTTTTTTAACGCTGTGGAATCCATTTACGGATACCCGTTCGAGGGGGGTAACGGACCGGGTTATGTCGGACTCCGGCGCCTCCTGATAGGAAGAAGGGGAGAAGAGAAGGGCCGAGGTCCTTCACCTCCCCCAATTTCTCATAGGAGACTACGCCTTGGAAAAGGCGCGCGAAGCACTTACCCCGTAGAACGACTACCGACTAAACCCCATCGAGCTCCACCACACCGACTACACGAAACTTACGGTACCGCGATGCGCGCCAAAAGTCTCGCCTTAGGCGGTACCCGTACTAATGTTAAGACGGGATTTCATCCCCGGGAAAATCCCGTAGTCGTCGTGGCCTAACGGATAAGACGTCCGGTGCATTCGTGTTGAGCGATGCATCGGTGTTCGAATCCCGCAGGCGGGTACCAATTTTTCTAATGAAATACGTACTCAACAAATGTTCACGATTGATTTCCACGGTGAAGGAATAACATCGTGTAATAAAAATGAAACCCGCAAAATTATAATTTGCGTAATTACTGGTGGTAGGACCTCTTGTGAGTCCGCACGGGTAGGTACCACCACCCTGCCTATTTCTGCCGTGAAGCAGTAATGCGTTTCGGTTTGAAGGGTGGGGCAGCCGTTGTAACTATAATTGAGACCTTAGAACTTATATCTCAAGATGGGTGGCGCATTTACGTTGTAGATGTCTATGGGCTCCAGTAACCACTTAACACCAGGTGGGCTGTGAGCTCGTCCACTCATCTAAAAAATCTGTCTCTGTAATAAATTAACTTTTTAAACAAGATTTAAATATAAAACAGTAAAATTGCTCGTGTTTTGGATATAAAACTGCAAAAATATTCGTAAAATATCGAAAACCGAATCAGAGCACCCCACTTTCCACCTGGTCTTGTCTGCCCTACCCCTAGAGTGTATATAAAAAACCGGAGGCGCGGAGGGAGAGCAGTCCTTGCCAATATTAGTTAGTATTTAAAGTATTAAGTACATTTTGGCAAAACTAGCTTCACATATCATTAATATTAATAAATTCAGTTGTCAGTCCTAAGCCTGAGAAAGCATGAAGGATTGTTTTCATTAAAAAAAATGTATTAAAACCATTTCATATGTTATAACTGTTCCTATAAGTGGACATATTCTATTTAAAACATTATTAAACCTGTTGCAAAACAAAAGGCTGTTTATTGGAACAGGCTACTGGAACTGTTCTTTCGCTGGAACAGGAACAGGTGGAACAGGTCTCTAATTTCACCTGTTACAGACCATCCCTAGTTTGGACAGGCAAAGGGAGATTAGTCGATTTAGCAAAGGATTCTGTAATGGGAACTATCACGGAAAAAAGATTGCTCCAAAATCGCGAACAGTAGTTGGCTTATGTAAATTTAACACCACGTTGCTAGATAAATTTTCCATTCTTACTTCTCAAATGAAAATAATTACCTGTGTCGAAACTATTCCAGCCTTCACACTTACACAATTATCACCTGATCAACTTTGACTACCGTGGCCCCGGCACATCTTACGTTCTTCGATAGTCTACCTACCTACTACTTCGATAGTATACTCAAGTGTCAATAAATTCCCACTATTTTACTGGAACATCTTTAATTTATTTCATCTTAACACGTTTCATTCCATTTAGTTTCATTAAATTTCATCCAGAGCATCCATTAGTCACGTCCACTGAACTCTCAGTTAATAATCCTTGTTTTACTGAGACGATTTTATTTCATCCCATTGAGGGAGTCCGTATAAAGTCCCTTCTTTATTTCGCGGGAAAATCGTGGTTTATGTAATTAACACCACACTTGAAACAATAGGAGTTTTATTGTTGCAGCGGCTTATACAGTTCTAAGTTATACAATATTTTTTTTTCGTCCTTTAAATATTCAGCGGTAAAAAAATTTTTTTTTGGGTAATTTATGACCTGGTCAACTAAGACCTTTAGGTCGTGTCTTATTTTAATTAATATTCTTAATTTTATGAAAATTTATATAATGGAAAGAAGTGAAATGCAATGAAGATGATTAATTTGAGACAATAATCAAGTAAGATGAAATTAAATATAGTGAGATGAGATGATATGGGATGAAATATAATCTCAGTAAAATGGTGGTCATTTAATGAAAGGACATGGGCCATTTTCGGCCCAGCTACTCGTGCCCTTATTAATAAAATAATTATTACATTAATAAAATATCTATACATTACATTAATAAAATATCTATAGAAAAAAACATTTCATTTTTACATACTTATTATAAAATTTAAGGGTATTTTAATGGTGGGATAATTAAAAGCATAAATAAAAAGAAATACTTAAGCATGATTAAGCTACATTGATTGAAGGAGCTGCCATGGGTAAAATATATTTATATTTTAAATAATTCATATTAAATCTTCTTAAAGAAAACAATGTATTACAAAAAACTAGCAAAATATATTAACATATTTAATCGATAAATATAAATAATAGATAAGCTGATGATGATGTTCGTTTAGTGGGCCGTGCAATGTATGGAGAGTGGCCCATGTCCTTTTTTCAGTGGACTTTTTGGAGGATCCCGGGGAAGTTACGTTCAGCGGCTTTGTTGCATTTTCCCACATTTGTGAACTTTCACAGATATTAAACAGTTAATAAATCACCGTTATTACACATTTAAACCTGAAGAAATACTAAATCGACAAAATAAAACAAATCACACAACTTCACTCCTCGCGCTCCCGCCAAAAAGTTCCGGCGGCAAAAAGGTCCCGTGTCACAGACTATCTTCTTTTTCCCACCTCTTGTGCGATCCGGCTTACGCATCATAAAACATCTTATCTAGTTTCATATAATGTCACTCAAATTTAAAGACTAACATTAGTTAAGTTCATCTCATTTAGCTTCATATGAATTCTGATTTATCAGATTAGAATTTCTACGTGCTCTTTACGTAGAAATTATATTATAGCTGGACTAGAAGGTCTTGTAACCGTTGGCTGTAAGCCAATTGCAATATTGAAAAATTAAGAAGAACAATAAAAACAATAAGCACTTCAATTTTATTATCTACATATTGACTCGGCTAAAGATATTTATTTTAAATTTAAGTAATAAGTTCGTAATGTCCAAAACTCCAATAAAAGAATTGGCTATCAACTTTGTACCTAGAGGTAATTATTTACATAGAGTTTGATTTAGAAACCATTATGGTTACGTTGCTGGGTATCAATATCACTTATTATCAAGTGGGCTGTGAGTTTGTCTGCCCATCATCGATTAAGAAGAAAAAGTTTTAACAAACAAAATTTCTGTTGTCCATGTCGATTGAAATAGTAAGTAATTTAATAAATGATATTATTTCAGAGATTACAACTCCAAATAAAGACCAACCAGGCTTATCAAAGACTGTATTTTCACATGTGTCTTCGTTTCATAGTTTGTTAATTGATTGGGTCAAACTAAAAGATAAAGGTTCTAAGTTTTGTAAAGGGTTCTCATCAGTGAAACTGCACGAGTATAATGATGATTATTATCCGCACCTATTGAAGCCATTGACTGAGGGCTTAGTTGAAATTATAGATAGCTTTCAAAATATTATCGAGGGTAAGTAAAATTATATATGTTAGTCTAGCAATCAACTATAATATTGGAGTATATGAGACAATTTTTAATAATGTAACAGTTTTAACAATTTAATGGAATGGAATATACATGAACACAATTTCAAGTCTAAACAATTTAATTCTAATTTTAAATGCAAAACTGAACTATGGCATAATTTTTTTTTTTATTTCAGGTATAAAAATACTAAAAAATCAACTGGAATCACTATCAAAATTGCAGTCAACTGACCAGCCAGTAATTTTGACTTGGTCAGTAGGCCGAATTCATGCTTGTGTTAAAAATACATATGAATCACTCTTAAAGGAGTACAAACTTAAAAAAATTGTGACAGGTGAAAATTATTATTATATATACTGGTGGTAGGACCTCTTGTGAATCCACACGGGTAGTTACCACCACCCTGCCTATTTCAGACGTGAAGCAGTAATGCATTTCGGTTTGAAGGGTGGGGCACCAGTTGTAACTATACTTGAGGCCTTAGAACTTATATCTCGAGGTGGGTGGACCATTTACGTTGTAGATGTCTATAGGCTCCAGTAACCACTTAACAACAGGTGGGCTGTGAGCTCGTTCACCCATCTAAGCAATGAATAAAAACAACATGCCCGTGATTACATTAGCATTCTAAGACAAGTATTCCCTTTTTTAAAACCATTCAATTCTATGCAGGCCTCCAAAATATTTAATAACCTACAGCAGAAAATTTTTGGGATACAAAACATAATTTTCAGAAAATATCTGGCTTTATTTGCTACAGAATATATTTCACATACTGCTTCCTGACAACTCTGTGATAACTCAATTTTTATCTTAAGGGTAATTGTAAACATAATTTATGTAATTTCTGTTTTCAGAAAACATAGCACACTGTAGAGATGAAAGCCTCATTGAGGTTTATGTTAGTTCTTGGGAATTTGACCCATATTTGAACATGGAAGAAAATGCTTATTTATTTGCAGAAATTGGTGTTGCTGGAATTTCTTAATTTAAAAAAATAATTTAATGCTCAGTCATCAGTATTGTCTATGTCAAGTCATTTTTGGATGTTGTAAAAGTCACAGACAATTTAATTATAAAGCTTTAAAGGCCTTATGACTAAGTGTAAACTTACTATTTTTAGCTTGTACTGTAAATTGAAGTTGTACAATTATTTAGTATAATCCTATAGAAGTTTCAAATACAAAATAACATTTACTGATACATGTAGTAGTATGTAGTAGAGTAAAATTGACTGTATCTTTTCTATAAATTATATTATATTAATTTTTAATAATTAAAAAATATGTAAAAACTTGTGTTCATCTCTTTAATTATATTTAGTAATAGATATAAAAAAATATGAGTAAAAAATCCATTCCCAAACTCGGAACAGTGATAAATTACTACCCTATCTTGGCTATAGAATACCATCTCTCATATCTACCCGTAAGTGACGCAAAAAGCGATTAAGAGAGTTACTGGAGAATGGGCAGCAGGGTTCTCTGACGATCGTCAATCGCCATTTACTTGTGGGTATGGGGTATATAGGGAGGTATCACCATTTGGCCTATTTTTGTTGGGATGTTATCAAGAATTTCGGTTTAAAGGGTAGGACAGCCATTATATAACACAAATGAGACTGTTAACCTCATGATTTTTATGAGCTCTGGTAACCACTTTACACTTGTGAGACCGCGGGATGAATGTAATATGCTGTGTGTCAACCATGTCCCGCCGTCGAATAGTCCCGACTGGGCTCCGGCCCGGTCTGGGGTAGGGCACCGGCTGTGCGCGGCAGGAGTTTTACCGAGGTTCAAGTTCCACATATCCACCTGCCGCGCGGTTGGGGATCCAGCGATTTTCTCCATAAGACTATTGCTTAGATTGCTATTGGACGAGCTCACGGCCCACCTGGTGTTAAGTGGTTAACGGACCCCATAGACATCTACAACGTAAATGCCGCCACCCAGCTTGAGATATGAGTTCTAAGGTCTCAGTACAATTACAGCGGCTACCCCAACCTTCAGACCGAAACGCATTACTACTTCACCGCAGAAATAGACAGGGTAGTGGTACCCACCCATGCGAACTCACAAGAAGCCCTACCACCAGTCTAAGTTAAATGTACTAATATTAAAATAATAATAATAAGTATAACAGTAGAAATATCTTACAACTTAATCTATGAAAGCTCTTTTCTATGGTCTACCGGGAAGAGAGTGGGCGATTAACCGTAGAACTCCTCAATTTAACAAAAAACACCTACGTATTGCTACAAAATAAGGTTCATGGTAAAATGGTTCTGACCTCGACATTCACAATTAATGCCTCTAATTTACATAAGGTCAATTTAAGATGTGATATGAAAGCGAGGCTAGTCGTTGCCACGGCAATCGGACCCAAACAAACCTAAACGAACCACCGACTTAACTAAAATTTAATGCAGACCTTACAAATGAATCTTGATAACTAACAGAGGTACCTATCTACACGAGACTTAAAAATAAACTGAATGGCTCGGTTGATAAAATAGCTATCAAAAAGGTGGTTGTTATTTTTTTCATAATTCAAACTTATGATCTTTCACTAAAGCGTGACTGTGTTATAATAACTCCACCGATGTACATAACATATGCTTTCAAGATAGTATATAGGTACAGTCGGTCGGAACTTGTAGTATAGATACATACCACAGCTTATGTTTTTAATTCTGCGCTAAGTGATCACCGAAGCCCTTTACTGGTGGTAGGGTGTCTTGTGAGCCCTGCCATGAAACAGTAATGCGTTGAAGGGTAGGACAGGCGTCGTATAGAGCACTGACTTTGAACTCATGTATGAAAGTGTGGCAGCATTTACATTGTTGATGTCTATGGGCTCCGGTGACCACTTAACACCAGGTGCGCAGTGAGCACGTCAATCCTTCTTAGCAATAAAAAAAGGAAACCCTTGATCCGTGCGATCTAAGACTCAATTGTGTTACATAACAGTTTTCAAATACGAAGGCAACACTGTTTCGCGGTAGAAATAGGTATAATATGGTGGCACTAATTACGCCCGCTACCCATTACATGGTTGACGGTTGGTCCAAAAATGTTTTTCGGAACACCTATTAACCTATGTAAGATTCCTTAGAAATTCAAGATGAAATCGCGGTTTCAGGTTTCTGTGAGTTTTTTTTTATTGGCCGATAAATACACAAAATTCAGCTGTAGTAGATATAGATAGCTTGTATGTACATAGACACATGGATTGGCAAAACTATTAGGCCAAGTCCAGTGAATATTAATAAAAAATAATCCAACAAATGAATATTGCTTAATAGCAGATGTTGACAATATTTTATTACATACTGTTACGCGCTGGAGCTCGGGATAAATAAATGTTTTACCAAAGTACAACTAAAAACTGTATTGAACACTAAGAACACTTCACAAGCACTTTAAAATTCTCAATTCGCTTCTTCCGCTTCGCTTCAGGTGATCCGTTCGCTATTTCGCTTCGAGTAGTTCCGATTACCTGAATCCCTAGAATCGTCGAGAATATTCCACAAAAGTCGAGTATTGTGTGATTCCGCTATCTGACAATAGATGGCGTTTTACTTCACAAGCGTTCTAAATGCTACTAGATCCTTCTATATTCGTTTGACTATTCGGCGATAGGTGGCGTTACCCTTACCAGCGTAACACTTCTTCTTCTTATCAGCTCATGGACGTCCACTGCTGGACATAGGCCTCCCCCAAGCCTCGCCACAAAGACCGGTCCTGCGCTGCCTGCATCCAGCGGATCCTCGCGATCCTCAATAGACCGCGTAACACTACCATTGTTTATTAAATGGTTAGTACATTAATAAAATAAATAAATAAATAAATTTGTAATATTAAAAAGGTATCATTGATAGATTTTTATTTCTTTACTGTAGTGTGATTTATATTTAAAAAGTCAAACTTCCACAGCGTTTTAAACCTTTTTTTTATTGGTCAACAAAAAGTCAAAGTACATGTACCGGAGTAGAAGAAGGGCCAATGACACAATATGGTCAAACTAGAGTTCCTTAAACTACATGCATTTATTTTTGCTTTTTCTATTCTAATTTGCTAATCTGTAGTATACTGAAGATAAAGCTTTTTAATTTTTTTACATTAATTAAATTATCTCTATATTTTCTACGATCTGTGCCATGGGGACTACTTTGATAAATTTGAGAGCAATGTTACTGAATTTCAGATAATCACGGTATTTTATTTTTACCACCGCCATGTGTCAGAGTTATTACCTATAATTATTGCGTTCCTTCTTATAAACAATATACTTAAGAACTTCTAATACATTTGCCGGGATTTTTTATAATTGACGCGTCATTCCCAATTTGTAGTCTATTTTGAATGCAACCCCTTTTGCTGACGTATGTTGCTTATGCATCGTATATTGAAATAAATAGTAGACAAAGTTGGTTTTTGCATAAACAATGATCAACCACTCAGAAATCTCTATGAATTTTTTTGAAATTATACAAAAAAACGGATTCCTTCCTCCATAACGCCACAGAAATAAATAAGTTGCACTGATAGATTATACAGATTGTACTTTTTATTTTATACACTTCTTCACTGTTTTCCATATGTCAGTCATGTCATAATAATGACAGATATTTATAGATCAAGGAAGGGCATCGACCTAAGGGATCCCGCAGGTTTCGAAAATTGACCCAAATTTGACAGGCAACGCCGTCGCCTTAAAGCGCCTGCCATAATTTCACACTCGGTTTAACGTTGCTATCCTCATTTATGAAACGATAAATATCTATCTACGCAGAAAATTTGGAAGCGTCGCAATTTGGTAGAGCATAAATTGAATATTATGTGATCGAAATAAATATTTAATAAGCGCCTTGCTCGTTTTTCTTTGAACTTTTCTACTCATTGAGTTTCACACAATAAATAGTACATGTAATCTATTTATTTACCCAATACGTTTTTTATTTATTACAAATAACCCACTGCTTATACATTATAATTAAATACTTACAAATAAGTTATAACGCCATAACTAAGCCAGTAAAGACAAGCTATTTATTGGATCGACAAATTTTAAGTACCATACGCTTAGGTATTGTAAACTGTAAATTTTACAACGGTAATTATCTAAATAGCTACAATTCTGTTAAAGCTGATAAGGGGTTACTAACGTAGACCACGGCAACTGTAATCGAAGGTAATCTAAGTTCTACGACCCATAGTACATTATGAAGACATGAATATATTGCAATCAACAACAAAGAAAATAAATATTTTCCATCGTTTATCGTACGTCCTTTTATATAACATTGCAAACACATTTATCGGGTAGATTGATGTAGAAGATACCTACATGCCATAGAAGGTTGTGTAATTAAGGCTTATTTTTTATACTATTTTTAAATGATATTTTTCAATAAAATTTATAGGACGTGTACTGGAAATTTTTCACTTTTATACATAAACAGGAACTTTATCAATGTACCTAATTTTGAAGTCATCCTTGCCTGAAAGATAGGACCATTGGTGTACTCGTATCGAGATATCGATCTCATGTCGATGTCATGTCATAGACGTGTGAGATTATTCACATTGTCTTACTGGTGGTAGGACCTCTTGAGAGTCCGTACCGTACCGCACCGTACCTACGTACGTGGCGTACCCTAGGCCTACCCTACCTATTTCTGCCGCGAAGCAGTAATGCGTTTCGGTTTGAAGGGTGGGGCAGCCGTTGTAACTATACCTGAGACCTTAGAACTTATATCTCAAGGTGGGTGGCGCATTTACATCGTAAATGTCTATGGGCTCCAGTAACCACTTAACACCAGGTGGGCTGTGAGCTCGTCCAACCATCTAAGAAATGAAAAAAAAAATTGTGATGTCTATGAACTTCCTGTAAGCTCTAAACACCAGGTAACTAGTGAGCTTGTTCATCCTCCTCATATATCTATAAATCGCTTTATGTATAAAATACATTACTCCTACATTATATACATTACATATTACTCCTCAGACATTATTCCTATCTACTTAAAGGTTTTCCGTGTCTTAGGAACATTAGTCAATTTTAAGAGGCTGTGAAATACTGTGAAACCTTGTGACAAGAACAAAGGAGTTGTTTTTATTTTGTATCTCAATTTAGAGATATAAATATCGATAAAAATACATACAAGCGATCATGTATAATGATGATCGATCGCAGATCATAACAACGTATTTGCAC